CTCGGAAGTCATAAAACAAAGCAAATGAATGAAGTTCTAGAAAAAGTCAACTCAGAAATAAGTTCTCACATAACTACAGAGATGGTGACCATGGTGAAAAATATGCTGAGTAACTCTAGAGCAGATACAGACAAAACATAAAATTTTTAGAAATGATGGAAATCAGGACTGCCCCAAATAGGAAAGAAACACAATCCATAAAATGAATTTGAGCCTACATCCAGGACAGTAAAACTTATACTGAAAGTATCTGTAGTAGAATATCCCAACATGAGGACAGAATCTCAGACACAAAAGACAGGCTTCATGTACTGATCATAAGAAAATCTTCATGTGGCACAGTACCATGAGATATCAATCCAGCAGATTCTAGGTCATGTAAACAATTGATTGCGAAGCCGGGCATACAGTTCAGTGGCAGAAGCAACCATCCGGCAAACCTGAGGTCATCAGTTCAATTCCCACCAACGAAAAAAAAAAAAGAATAAAAAAACTGATTGGAGAAACTGAAAAAGCAGGAGGTGCTATGCATGATACAAAAATCCATTCACAGACAGAAAGGCAAAACACTTCCCGGACGGGGAAATAACACTCGGAAACCCAGATAAGTAAGGGATATAAAACATGATCAAAAAAATCTACAACCAAGCACATCATAATCAAGATTCCAGAAATTCATCACAAGAACAGAATACTAAAACCCACCAGAGAAATAAATAAATCATCTATAAAGAATTGGCCATTCAGAAACACAGCTGACTGTTGGGAGCCACCACATTGCCGAGCCGCCTCATATAGCGATCATGCGGCCTGTGGTAAAGAGTAAAGCCTGAGTTAGATTACCCCTCCCATCGAGCACGTTAGTTTCCTGCTTACCGCGTAAACAACCCGCTCAATAATATGTTAGCCAATCAGCTTGCCTTGCTTACTTTAACATGATTGGACACTGTATCCGTATATATACTGGTGCCACCCCTGGGGGAAAGTAGAAGCCCAAAAGGAGCCGCAGAGAGCGGACCGGTAGAGGCTTCAGAGAGAAGCCCAAAAGGAGCCGCGGAGAGCGGACCGGTAGAGGCTTCGGAGCGAAGCACGAAAGGAGCCGCGGGGAGCGGACCAGAGGAGGCTTCGGCTGGGAGCGATCCCAGGACAGGCTGTACAGAGAGAAAATAAAAAAAAAGGTTGTCCACTGCCAGACTTTGTCGTGTGTCCTTCCTGCCGGCCGGGAGCGACATCGACATTTGGTGGCCCGTACGGGGAACAACTGATCACCCCCGAGACGTGGTAGTGGACAACGTTCCTTGATACAGCACTGCGAGACAGGTGAGTAGGGGATAAACCTGGGCCCTGGGTGGTGCGCACCTACAGGGTTTTTAGACTCCCCTCAGGCTCACGCGTAAGTGGCGGATTTTTGGGCCTCACGCGGTGAGTAACATATTAAATATGGGTAACGTACCGAGTAACGACACCCAGCCCTTGGTACAGGTCCTCCGGAAGCTCTTAAAGTCCAGAGACCTCAAGGTGGGACACAAAACGCTGGAGAGCTTTTTTGAGGAGATTGATAGTTTCGCTCCCTGGTTCTTGCCCACAGGGCACTTAAACCTGCCCTCGTGGGAGAAGTTGAGCAGGGATCTTTCTCTAGCGGAAAGGGAGGGCGGGGCTTCGGTCTTCGCTCGGCCACTGTGGGAAATGATATATGCATGCTTAAAGAGCGAGGGTGGTTGCAGGGAAGGCTCTCAAGAGCTCATTAAAGTGCGTAGGGCATTCAAACAGGCCCAGTCAGGGAGCTCCCGGGAGGGGTCCGTCAAAGGAGACAAAGATATAAAGGAGGAAGACGGGGCTCAGGCCTCGGAGTCGTCTGACTCCGAGAACGAAAAAGGCTTAGACAACGATGAGACCAAGGAGCCTAGATGCCAAGAGGATAGGCCGCTCGATAAGGAGTCGCAGGGTTCTTTCCCAGCGTTGCGCCGTGAATTGCGCTCCGCTCAACTTGGTCTGCGGAGGAGTAGAGAGCTCCTGAGCGCCCCCTGGCGCGAGAGGGAGGCGAAGCCTTCCGCCCCACCTTGGGGACTGTTCCCGGAAGCGATCCCTCGCCACGAGGCGGCCACGTGGGAGCTCCCTCCCCTTTCGCCAAAACAGGAAGTGATGCACGGGCCCCCATTTTCCGCCCAATCACGGCCGCCGTCTTATGCTCCGCCGCCGGCGGGTCGGTATTTTTACAGGCGGCTTTGGCAGGGGGGACGTTTGTCTCATGAGGTACATCCACCACCTGGGATAGATAGTGGCCCCTACGGGATATTTCCTGTACAAGTAGCTATGGGCCAGGGACGTAATACATGAGAGCCTTTTGAGATAAAACAGATTAAAAAACTTAAAAATGCAGTTACAACCTTTGGGCCGACTGCGCCTTACACCATTGCCATGCTGGAGAACCTGTCTTCTGGGCCCCTCACCCCCGCGGACTGGATTCAGCTGGCAAAGGCGTGTCTGCCCTCGGGTAGTTACCTAGATTGGCGAGCCTGGTACACAAAGTTCTCTGCCGAGCAGGCTAAAAAAAACGCCGGTCGAGGAAATGGGGGCTGGGGATTTAGCTCAGCGGCATAAGCGCCTGCCTTGTAAGCAGGCAATCGCCAGTTCGATCCCTGGTACCAATAAAAAAAAAAAAAAAAAAAAAGATAAAAATAAAAAATAAAAAATAAAAAACAAAAAGGGGGAGTAAGCCAAGGCCTGCCTCCAAAGGCGCGGTTATCTATGGCATGACAATGGATGGGCCCGGATCCGGTAATCAGCTGGAACCGAGGCGCGGTTTGTGTTTTTCTGCAGGAATCGGGACGAGAACCACTGTGGGTACCGGAGAGACTGACACGGTCGACAAAGCCCTCGACTAAAGATCAGACCTGCCCTACCGGAGATCCATCACAGACCAACCAACAAGATAAATAAAAATAGCGGTAGCCCAAAATAGACAAAAAGATCCTCAGGCATATGCATGGCTCGCTCGCCTAGCCTACAACGGAGTCTAGGGACGGTGAGCTTCCCACACTCCTCCTCTAAAAAATTATGATATAGCAGGGTAGATGAGTCAATGACGGATAAGAGCATGCCTCCCCAGCATGACTCAACCTAAGACAGGCCCTACCCCATACCGCACAAAAGCCGCTAAATTACTAGGTTCCGCCCAAACCAAATGTCGCCCCGGGGGGATCATGCGGAGCGACATGAGTATATGCCTGTGTGCATCCAGGTTCCGTCCGGTTCCTTCCTGGCCCTGGAAAAAGGACGAGGGCCTCGGGGCCTCGGCAGACTCGGGGACGGCCGACCCGGGCCGACGCCGAGAGCCCTTGGTGGGCCTCCTATCAGGGCATAGGCCTCTACACTCAATTCAGGACGGGCTGCGATGCATAGACTTATTTAAAATAAAAAAGGGGGAGATGTTGGGAGCCACCACATTGCCGAGCCGCCGCATATAGCGATCATGCGGCCTGTGGTAAAGAGTAAAGCCTGAGTTAGATTACCCCTCCCATCGAGCACGTTAGTTTCCTGCTTACCGCGTAAACAACCCGCTCAATAATATGTTAGCCAATCAGCTTGCCTTGCTTACTTTAACATGATTGGACACTGTATCCGTATATATACTGGTGCCACCCCTGGGGGAAAGTAGAAGCCCAAAAGGAGCCGCAGAGAGCGGACCGGTAGAGGCTTCAGAGAGAAGCCCAAAAGGAGCCGCGGAGAGCGGACCGGTAGAGGCTTCGGAGCGAAGCACGAAAGGAGCCGCGGGGAGCGGACCAGAGGAGGCTTCAGCTGGGAGCGATCCCAGGACAGGCTGTACAGAGAGAAAATAAAAAAAAAGGTTGTCCACTGCCAGACTTTGTCGTGTGTCCTTCCTGCCGGCCGGGAGCGACATCGACAGCTGACTTCTCAACACAAGTCAAGATCCTGGAGAGAAGCATTTCAAGTCCCACAAGAAAACAACCTCCAACCCAGAGTGATGTACTCCACAAAACTATCTTTCAGAACTGATTGAGAAATAAGACCCTGCTATGTGAATGAACACCTGAGGAAATTCATGAGCACCAGTCCAGCACTCTAAAATATTCTGAAGGACACTCTAGGAAGAGATACCAAAGACGACAGTTCCATCAATCCCAGCACAATGAATCCACCAGGGAGGCAAACAGTGACATAGGACTTGAGAGAGACAAGGCAGTGAAAAAACAGGAAAATTACATGACAAGGATGAGTCAATACTATCACTTATAATCATCCAGGTGAATGCTCTCAATTCACCAATCAAAACAAACAGACTGGCAGAATGCATCAAGAAGCAAGATTCAACAACATGCTGCATGCAAGAAACACACTGACCTCTAAGGAAATTCACAGACTGAAAGTCAAGGCTGGAGAACAACCCTCTATGTGACAAGAACCTGGAAAAAGAAGGGTAGTTGCTCTACTTGCAGACAAAGTGGATTTCAAGCCAAGATTAAGTGACAAAGAAGGTTACTACAGCTGGGAAACGGAATAATCCAAAAGGGAGAGAGGGCAATCAAAAATACATATGCACCAAACACCAATGCATTCAGCTAAATGAGACCAATATTAAAGGACATGAAAAATCAATTAAGCACTAATACAGTTGTACTGGGGGACCTCAATACCCCACATTCCTAAACACACAAAACTAACAGAAAATCAACAATGAAATATTAGAATGGAACCCAACTTTGGAGCAAATGAGCTACGCAGATGTCTACACAGCGATCTCCTCTCAACCTTTACAATATGCATTGTTCTTAGCTGCAAATAGGATGCTCTAGAAAATAGACGACTTACCAGCACATAGAACATGCTTATTCAAATTCAAAGAAATTGAAATTCTCCTGTGCATACATTATCAGACCACAGTGCGATGAGATTGGAAAGCGATGGCAAAAGAAATGAAAAGAATTTCGTAAGTGCACAGAAATTAAATAGCATCCTCCTAAAATCCTTGCTGCCCTCACCTGTAGTAGCATTGAGAGTCTCCCTGGTGCTGTTGACTCCGTCTTTTTCCACCCACACAGAAAACTCATATGAAGTCCCAGAACGCAGTTCCTCCACGGTGACACAGGTGTCTGTGGTCCTCTGGGTCTCAATTGTGTTGCTGTCTCCAGTCCACTGCACATAGTAGGTGAGGTTCTGGGAGTCTGACTCCTCGGGCCGCTCCCAGCACAGTCTGATGGACCTGTTGGTCTGACTTTCCACTCGCAGGCTGCTCACTGGGTTGGGGGCTGAGCACAGGGACAGAAGGAAAATCAGGTTCATTTTCCCAGTCCTCACATTTGCCTGCCCTCTACTCGTGGACTTGGAAGACTTGAGAAGCTCAGACCTGCACCGAAGAACAGGACAGCACAGGGCCCGAGGGACTCAGGAGCTCTGTGACAGGCTCCTGCCAGGTGCACAGTGAGGACGCGGGAGGTTGGCACAGTCAGTATAAAGCTGGGACCACAAATTTTATACACTGGAGTACTACTCAGCTATAAAGAATGATCACATTGAGATATTTATAAATAAATGGACTCAGATTAACAGAATACTCATAAGTGAAATAAATCAAACTCACATGGAAAAATACACAAGAGTTTCCCTAGGGTAACAAATGCAAAGAATACATGAAATTATGTGGTAATCGTGATTCCCCATTACATTCCTTTCAAACCTTATAATGCTTTCATTTATTAGTTGGAATGATTTTATTCTGGGTTCTTTGATTTTGTTGTTTGTGATGATATCAACAGTTATTTTGAAGAAAACAAAACATTATAACGCCTAGTGCTGATTTACTATCGTCTTGTTTTGACATCCAACCAAGCTTCTGTGCTTCTGTCTTCCCTGGTTTTACCATGCTGTATCTTATTGGATTTTATTATATGTGATAGTATAAACAAAATTTTTTATAGACAAGGAAATAATACAGTAACCATTGTTGCTCTTTTGTTAGTTGGTTATGAATACCCTGTGATACTTTCATTCTCATGAGGGGTTTTCTACTGTCTTATTATGTTTGATACTATAGTATTTAAAGGTATATTGAAACATTTCAAGGAAACACACACTGTGGTGGTTACTGTTACGTCAGGTCATCTGGTGGTGACACACTATGTTCCTTAAATTGTTCTGTTGTATCCTGTGTTGTGATGTCCTCATTTATCTTAATCTTTTTTCAAATAAAATAAAACATAAAAAACAAGCTAGGACCACAAAGCCTCATTCATGCTTTCGCTTTCTATGTAAATTACAGGTTGAAACGGAACTGCTTCACATTGTCACACTCCATCATACATGCTGTGGTGATTCACTTTGGCTCATTTTCGTTTTCCACATTTTTGTGTGGCTCACAGAAAGCTGAAGTTTCTGTGTGTGTTTTTTGTGTATTTCTATTGAATCACCATACTTGCCACTTTCTCCTGACCTTTCTCAAGCACGCAGTACCAATCCATACAAAAGGAGAGCCCAACAGCCAAGTGTCTTGTTGTATCCCCAACCCCAGAATCTAGGAGGCTGGGAAAGGAGGATCTCAATTCAATTTGTGCTGGGGAAATTGAGCAAAACATTTCCTTAAAACAAGCAAACAAACACAAACACGATGCAGAGAAAAGATCGGTGTGAAGATTCATCAGTGAATCTCCAGTACCATGGAACTGAGGAGCTTAAAATACTGGCTGCCAGGTTTCAGCTAGATTTAGGGGAAAAGGACACAGTGGTAGGCAGCAGACAAAGACCCTCTCTGAGTCTCGCTGTGCACACACTGGAAGATACCTATGACAGGAAGAAATGAAACAGGGAAGTTGTCCCCTGGACCCAGGAAAGATCTGAAGCAAGATTTGAAGACCATGGTTTGAGGCAACAGAGAAACTTCAACAAAGAAGAAGCGAGTAGTGGGCTACCCTTTCTCCTAGTGTTGCATCTCATTGTGTGAAAAGAGCTGTACTAATTTAGAGACACACAGGGACTGTCGAGAACCCCAGAGGCCTCCACACAGACATGCAGCAATGGGAGGAAGCATTAGAGGCCAAGAAGTGCACTAGCTGCCGTGACTGCTTCTCCTGTGGGACTGGATGCCCCACGGGGGACAGTGATTGGCTGTGACCCGTCTTGGACAGGGGCCAAATGAGCTTCAAATGCAGAATAGCCCTTGGCCCCATTTAGCAGCTTCAGCTCAGTTCAAGCATTTAGAAGACCCCTGATTTCTAAAGGGGCAGGCTTGCTGAGATTATCCACTACCTGGCCATGAATCCACTGCAGGGTTCCTGGGATAAGTCAGCACACTGCTGGACTTTGTCTCCACACATTATCTACCAGTGACAGCAGAGAGAAACCCGCAAGTGATTTTTTTCAATCTGTCTTCTCTTATTGCTTTGTTTTACTCTTAATGGTTTGATCTTATTTTTATGTGAATGTGAGTGTAGTTTTTAGTCTTACTCTGGCTGTTGTTCTAGGGTTCTTTTGTTTGCTTGTTTGTTTTGGTACTGGGGACGAAACTTACAAGAGCAGCCTGAAAGTCCGGCAGTTATGGTGCTGAGCTAAGTCCCCAGCCTGTTTTTTGTTTTATTTCCTCCTTTTCTCTTTCCGTCCTATCTTCTGCACAAATCCCCCAAGGTATTGCATGATCTACCTTTACCCTCTAGCCTTGCTTCTAATCCTTTACTCTTCTTCAATTTCTATGCTTTTTCCAAAATAACATTTTAATTTTTCTCCTCTGAGAGTAAAATTTACATAAGGTAGTCTTTTGCTTATTGGCTACAGTTTTCCAATTTGGGTTAGATTTTGTTACTACAATTCTGCTTCTTAAAGCTAAAGGTGGCACATTAGTGATTACCTCAGTTTGCAGTTTTCTGTGTTTGTTTCATGCTACAGTTACTGCTAATTGTACCACTTCAGCCAAAGTGACATAACTGTTCCAACCAACTGTTCTTCCAGGTGTAAAGCAGGACTGAGGTTGCCTAAGGGCCATACAAAACACTGTGGGCCGATAACAAAGAACCAAGTGCTCGACCAACCAGGCAGCAATTTCTTATCCCCAATAAACTGAAGTGTTGGATCTTGAAACACTCACAATCTAAGAGCCAGCTCCACCTGCATGATGTCCCTGACAAAGTCATTTTCTAAGGGTTCTAAATACAACCAATAAAACTGTACCCAATATGCAACTGAAAAACATCAACCTAGTAATTCAATTGAAAAACTAAGAAAATGAGGCACAAACCATTCAGGACCCCTCCTCCTGGCTCTCAGGAGCTCTTCCTATTCCAATTCTAATTCCCCAATACATTTTCTGACTCTTAAGAAAGAAGAAAACAGAACATGAGAAAATGCGTAAAGAAAATGCAATCCCAGTCATCCAGTGCACCAAAGACAAACCCACGGGACAAAGAGGTGGGACGACCTGAAATCCAACCCCCCCCCCCACTCCCAGGCTCTCGGAAGTCATAAAACAAAGCAAATGAATGAAGTTCTAGAAAAAGTCAACTCAGAAATAAGTTCTCACATAACTACAGAGATGGTGACCATGGTGAAAAATATGCTGAGTAACTCTAGAGCAGATACAGACAAAACATAAAATTTTTAGAAATGATGGAAATCAGGACTGCCCCAAATAGGAAAGAAACACAATCCATAAAATGAATTTGAGCCTACATCCAGGACAGTAAAACTTATACTGAAAGTATCTGTAGTAGAATATCCCAACATGAGGACAGAATCTCAGACACAAAAGACAGGCTTCATGTACTGATCATAAGAAAATCTTCATGTGGCACAGTACCATGAGATATCAATCCAGCAGATTCTAGGTCATGTAAACAATTGATTGCAAAGCCGGGCATACAGTTCAGTGGCAGAAGCAACCATCCGGCAAACCTGAGGTCATCAGTTCAATTCCCACCAACGAAAAAAAAAAAAGAATAAAAAAAAATGATTGGAGAAACTGAAAAAGCAGGAGGTGCTATGCATGATACAAAAATCCATTCACAGACAGAAAGGCAAAACACTTCCCGGACGGGGAAATAACACTCGGAAACCCAGATAAGTAAGGGATATAAAACATGATCAAAAAAATCTACAACCAAGCACATCATAATCAAGATTCCAGAAATTCATCACAAGAACAGAATACTAAAACCCACCAGAGAAATAAATAAATCATCTATAAAGAATTGGCCATTCAGAAACACAGCTGACTGTTGGGAGCCACCACATTGCCGAGCCGCCTCATATAGCGATCATGCGGCCTGTGGTAAAGAGTAAAGCCTGAGTTAGATTACCCCTCCCATCGAGCACGTTAGTTTCCTGCTTACCGCATAAACAACCCGCTCAATAATATGTTAGCCAATCAGCTTGCCTTGCTTACTTTAACATGATTGGACACTGTATCCGTATATATACTGGTGCCACCCCTGGGGGAAAGTAGAAGCCCAAAAGGAGCCGCAGAGAGCGGACCGGTAGAGGCTTCAGAGAGAAGCCCAAAAGGAGCCGCGGAGAGCGGACCGGTAGAGGCTTCGGAGCGAAGCACGAAAGGAGCCGCGGGGAGCGGACCAGAGGAGGCTTCGGCTGGGAGCGATCCCAGGACAGGCTGTACAGAGAGAAAATAAAAAAAAAGGTTGTCCACTGCCAGACTTTGTCGTGTGTCCTTCCTGCCGGCCGGGAGCGACATCGACATTTGGTGGCCCGTACGGGGAACAACTGATCACCCCCGAGACGTGGTAGTGGACAACGTTCCTTGATACAGCACTGCGAGACAGGTGAGTAGGGGATAAACCTGGGCCCTGGGTGGTGCGCACCTACAGGGTTTTTAGACTCCCCTCAGGCTCACGCGTAAGTGGCGGATTTTTGGGCCTCACGCGGTGAGTAACATATTAAATATGGGTAACGTACCGAGTAACGACACCCAGCCCTTGGTACAGGTCCTCCGGAAGCTCTTAAAGTCCAGAGACCTCAAGGTGGGACACAAAACGCTGGAGAGCTTTTTTGAGGAGATTGATAGTTTCGCTCCCTGGTTCTTGCCCACAGGGCACTTAAACCTGCCCTCGTGGGAGAAGTTGGGCAGGGATCTTTCTCTAGCGGAAAGGGAGGGCGGGGCTTCGGTCTTCGCTCGGCCACTGTGGGAAATGATATATGCATGCTTAAAGAGCGAGGGTGGTTGCAGGGAAGGCTCTCAAGAGCTCATTAAAGTGCGTAGGGCATTCAAACAGGCCCAGTCAGGGAGCTCCCGGGAGGGGTCCGTCAAAGGAGACAAAGATATAAAGGAGGAAGACGGGGCTCAGGCCTCGGAGTCGTCTGACTCCGAGAACGAAAAAGGCTTAGACAACGATGAGACCAAGGAGCCTAGATGCCAAGAGGATAGGCCGCTCGATAAGGAGTCGCAGGGTTCTTTCCCAGCGTTGCGCCGCGAATTGCGCTCCGCTCAACTTGGTCTGCGGAGGAGTAGAGAGCTCCTGAGCGCCCCCTGGCGCGAGAGGGAGGCGAAGCCTTCCGCCCCACCTTGGGGGCTGTTCCCGGAAGCGATCCCTCGCCACGAGGCGGCCGCGTGGGAGCTCCCTCCCCTTTCGCCAAAACAGGAAGTGATGCACGGGCCCCCATTTTCCGCCCAATCACGGCCGCCGTCTTATGCTCCGCCGCCGGCGGGTCGGTATTTTTACAGGCGGCTTTGGCAGGGGGGACGTTTGTCTCATGAGGTACATCCACCACCTGGGATAGATAGTGGCCCCTACGGGATATTTCCTGTACAAGTAGCTATGGGCCAGGGACGTAATACATGAGAGCCTTTTGAGATAAAACAGATTAAAAAACTTAAAAATGCAGTTACAACCTTTGGGCCGACTGCGCCTTACACCATTGCCATGCTGGAGAACCTGTCTTCTGGGCCCCTCACCCCCGCGGACTGGATTCAGCTGGCAAAGGCGTGTCTGCCCTCGGGTAGTTACCTAGATTGGCGAGCCTGGTACACAAAGTTCTCTGCCGAGCAGGCTAAAAAAAACGCCGGTCGAGGAAATGGGGGCTGGGGATTTAGCTCAGCGGCATAAGCGCCTGCCTTGTAAGCAGGCAATCGCCAGTTCGATCCCTGGTACCAATAAAAAAAAAAAAAAAAAAAAAAAAAAGATAAAAATAAAAAATAAAAAATAAAAAACAAAAAGGGGGAGTAAGCCAAGGCCTGCCTCCAAAGGCGCGGTTATCTATGGCATGACAATGGATGGGCCCGGATCCGGTAATCAGCTGGAACCGAGGCGCGGTTTGTGTTTTTCTGCAGGAATCGGGACGAGAACCACTGTGGGTACCGGAGAGACTGACACGGTCGACAAAGCCCTCGACTAAAGATCAGACCTGCCCTACCGGAGATCCATCACAGACCAACCAACAAGATAAATAAAAATAGCGGTAGCCCAAAATAGACAAAAAGATCCTCAGGCATATGCATGGCTCGCTCGCCTAGCCTACAACGGAGTCTAGGGACGGTGAGCTTCCCACACTCCTCCTCTAAAAAATTATGATATAGCAGGGTAGATGAGTCAATGACGGATAAGAGCATGCCTCCCCAGCATGACTCAACCTAAGACAGGCCCTACCCCATACCGCACAAAAGCCGCTAAATTACTAGGTTCCGCCCAAACCAAATGTCGCCCCGGGGGGATCATGCGGAGCGACATGAGTATATGCCTGTGTGCATCCAGGTTCCGTCCGGTTCCTTCCTGGCCCTGGAAAAAGGACGAGGGCCTCGGGGCCTCGGCAGACTCGGGGACGGCCGACCCGGGCCGACGCCGAGAGCCCTTGGTGGGCCTCCTATCAGGGCATAGGCCTCTACACTCAATTCAGGACGGGCTGCGATGCGTAGACTTATTTAAAATAAAAAAGGGGGAGATGTTGGGAGCCACCACATTGCCGAGCCGCCGCATATAGCGATCATGCGGCCTGTGGTAAAGAGTAAAGCCTGAGTTAGATTACCCCTCCCATCGAGCACGTTAGTTTCCTGCTTACCGCGTAAACAACCCGCTCAATAATATGTTAGCCAATCAGCTTACCTTGCTTACTTTAACATGATTGGACACTGTATCCGTATATATACTGGTGCCACCCCTGGGGGAAAGTAGAAGCCCAAAAGGAGCCGCAGAGAGCGGACCGGTAGAGGCTTCAGAGAGAAGCCCAAAAGGAGCCGCGGAGAGCGGACCGGTAGAGGCTTCGGAGCGAAGCACGAAAGGAGCCGCGGGGAGCGGACCAGAGGAGGCTTCGGCTGGGAGCGATCCCAGGACAGGCTGTACAGAGAGAAAATAAAAAAACAGGTTGTCCACTGCCAGACTTTGTCGTGTGTCCTTCCTGCCGGCCGGGAGCGACATCGACAGCTGACTTCTCAACACAAGTCAAGATCCTGGAGAGAAGCATTTCAAGTCCCACAAGAAAACAACCTCCAACCCAGAGTGATGTACTCCACAAAACTATCTTTCAGAACTGATTGAGAAATAAGACCCTGCTATGTGAATGAACACCTGAGGAAATTCATGAGCACCAGTCCAGCACTCTAAAATATTCTGAAGGACACTCTAGGAAGAGATACCAAAGACGACAGTTCCATCAATCCCAGCACAATGAATCCACCAGGGAGGCAAACAGTGACATAGGACTTGAGAGAGACAAGGCAGTGAAAAAACAGGAAAATTACATGACAAGGATGAGTCAATACTATCACTTATAATCATCCAGGTGAATGCTCTCAATTCACCAATCAAAACAAACAGACTGGCAGAATGCATCAAGAAGCAAGATTCAACAACATGCTGCATGCAAGAAACACACTGACCTCTAAGGAAATTCACAGACTGAAAGTCAAGGCTGGAGAACAACCCTCTATGTGACAAGAACCTGGAAAAAGAAGGGTAGTTGCTCTACTTGCAGACAAAGTGGATTTCAAGCCAAGATTAAGTGACAAAGAAGGTTACTACAGCTGGGAAACGGAATAATCCAAAAGGGAGAGAGGGCAATCAAAAATACATATGCACCAAACACCAATGCATTCAGCTAAATGAGACCAATATTAAAGGACATGAAAAATCAATTAAGCACTAATACAGTTGTACTGGGGGACCTCAATACCCCACATTCCTAAACACACAAAACTAACAGAAAATCAACAATGAAATATTAGAATGGAACCCAACTTTGGAGCAAATGAGCTACGCAGATGTCTACACAGCGATCTCCTCTCAACCTTTACAATATGCATTGTTCTTAGCTGCAAATAGGATGCTCTAGAAAATAGACGACTTACCAGCACATAGAACATGCTTATTCAAATTCAAAGAAATTGAAATTCTCCTGTGCATACATTATCAGACCACAGTGCGATGAGATTGGAAAGCGATGGCAAAAGAAATGAAAAGAATTTCGTAAGTGCACAGAAATTAAATAGCATCCTCCTAAAATCCTTGCTGCCCTCACCTGTAGTAGCATTGAGAGTCTCCCTGGTGCTGTTGACTCCGTCTTTTTCCACCCACACAGAAAACTCATATGAAGTCCCAGAACGCAGTTCCTCCACGGTGACACAGGTGTCTGTGGTCCTCTGGGTCTCAATTGTGTTGCTGTCTCCAGTCCACTGCACATAGTAGGTGAGGTTCTGGGAGTCTGACTCCTCGGGCCGCTCCCAGCACAGTCTGATGGACCTGTTGGTCTGACTTTCCACTCGCAGGCTGCTCACTGGGTTGGGGGCTGAGCACAGGGACAGAAGGAAAATCAGGTTCATTTTCCCAGTCCTCACATTTGCCTGCCCTCTACTCGTGGACTTGGAAGACTTGAGAAGCTCAGACCTGCACCGAAGAACAGGACAGCACAGGGCCCGAGGGACTCAGGAGCTCTGTGACAGGCTCCTGCCAGGTGCACAGTGAGGACGCGGGAGGTTGGCACAGTCAGTATAAAGCTGGGACCACAAATTTTATACACTGGAGTACTACTCAGCTATAAAGAATGATCACATTGAGATATTTATAAATAAATGGACTCAGATTAACAGAATACTCAAAAGTGAAATAAATCAAACTCACATGGAAAAATACACAAGAGTTTCCCTAGGGTAACAAATGCAAAGAATACATGAAATTATGTGGTAATCGTGATTCCCCATTACATTCCTTTCAAACCTTATAATGCTTTCATTTATTAGTTGGAATGATTTTATTCTGGGTTCTTTGATTTTGTTGTTTGTGATGATATCAACAGTTATTTTGAAGAAAACAAAACATTATAACGCCTAGTGCTGATTTACTATCGTCTTGTTTTGACATCCAACCAAGCTTCTGTGCTTCTGTCTTCCCTGGTTTTACCATGCTGTATCTTATTGGATTTTATTATATGTGATAGTATAAACAAAATTTTTTATAGACAAGGAAATAATACAGTAACCATTGTTGCTCTTTTGTTAGTTGGTTATGAATACCCTGTGATACTTTCATTCTCATGAGGGGTTTTCTACTGTCTTATTATGTTTGATACTATAGTATTTAAAGGTATATTGAAACATTTCAAGGAAACACACACTGTGGTGGCTACTGTTACGTCAGGTCATCTGGTGGTGACACACTATGTTCCTTAAATTGTTCTGTTGTATCCTGTGTTGTGATGTCCTCATTTATCTTAATCTTTTTTCAAATAAAATAAAACATAAAAAACAAGCTAGGACCACAAAGCCTCATTCATGCTTTCGCTTTCTATGTAAATTACAGGTTGAAACGGAACTGCTTCACATTGTCACACTCCATCATACATGCTGTGGTGATTCACTTTGGCTCATTTTCGTTTTCCACATTTTTGTGTGGCTCACAGAAAGCTGAAGTTTCTGTGTGTGTTTTTTGTGTATTTCTATTGAATCACCATACTTGCCACTTTCTCCTGACCTTTCTCAAGCACGCAGTACCAATCCATACAAAAGGAGAGCCCAACAGCCAAGTGTCTTGTTGTATCCCCAACCCCAGAATCTAGGAGGCTGGGAAAGGAGGATCTCAATTCAATTTGTGCTGGGGAAATTGAGCAAAACATTTCCTTAAAACAAGCAAACAAACACAAACACGATGCAGAGAAAAGATCGGTGTGAAGATTCATCAGTGAATCTCCAGTACCATGGAACTGAGGAGCTTAAAATACTGGCTGCCAGGTTTCAGCTAGATTTAGGGGAAAAGGACACAGTGGTAGGCAGCAGACAAAGACCCTCTCTGAGTCTCGCTGTGCACACACTGGAAGATACCTATGACAGGAAGAAATGAAACAGGGAAGTTGTCCCCTGGACCCAGGAAAGATCTGAAGCAAGATTTGAAGACCATGGTTTGAGGCAACAGAGAAACTTCAACAAAGAAGAAGCGAGTAGTGGGCTACCCTTTCTCCTAGTGTTGCATCTCATTGTGTGAAAAGAGCTGTACTAATTTAGAGACACACAGGGACTGTCGAGAACCCCAGAGGCCTCCACACAGACATGCAGCAATGGGAGGAAGCATTAGAGGCCAAGAAGTGCACTAGCTGCCGTGACTGCTTCTCCTGTGGGACTGGATGCCCCACGGGGGACAGTGATTGGCTGTGACCCGTCTTGGACAGGGGCCAAATGAGCTTCAAATGCAGAATAGCCCTTGGCCCCATTTAGCAGCTTCAGCTCAGTTCAAGCATTTAGAAGACCCCTGATTTCTAAAGGGGCAGGCTTGCTGAGATTATCCACTACCTGGCCATGAATCCACTGCAGGGTTCCTGGGATAAGTCAGCACACTGCTGGACTTTGTCTCCACACATTATCTACCAGTGACAGCAGAGAGAAACCCGCAAGTGATTTTTTTCAATCTGTCTTCTCTTATTGCTTTGTTTTACTCTTAATGGTTTGATCTTATTTTTATGTGAATGTGAGTGTAGTTTTTAGTCTTACTCTGGCTGTTGTTCTAGGGTTCTTTTGTTTGCTTGTTTGTTTTGGTACTGGGGACGAAACTTACAAGAGCAGCCTGAAAGTCCGGCAGTTATGGTGCTGAGCTAAGTCCCCAGCCTGTTTTTTGTTTTATTTCCTCCTTTTCTCTTTCCGTCCTATCTTCTGCACAAATCCCCCAAGGTATTGCATGATCTACCTTTACCCTCTAGCCTTGCTTCTAATCCTTTACTCTTCTTCAATTTCTATGCTTTTTCCAAAATAACATTTTAATTTTTCTCCTCTGAGAGTAAAATTTACATAAGGTAGTCTTTTGCTTATTGGCTACAGTTTTCCAATTTGGGTTAGATTTTGTTACTACAATTCTGCTTCTTAAAGCTAAAGGTGGCACATTAGTGATTACCTCAGTTTGCAGTTTTCTGTGTTTGTTTCATGCTACAGTTACTGCTAATTGTACCACTTCAGCCAAAGTGACATAACTGTTCCAACCAACTGTTCTTCCAGGTGTAAAGCAGGACTGAGGTTGCCTAAGGGCCATACAAAACACTGTGGGCCGATAACAAAGAACCAAGTGCTCGACCAACCAGGCAGCAATTTCTTATCCCCAATAAACTGAAGTGTTGGATCTTGAAACACTCACAATCTAAGAGCCAGCTCCACCTGCATGATGTCCCTGACAAAGTCATTTTCTAAGGGTTCTAAATACAACCAATAAAACTGTACCCAATATGCAACTGAAAAACATCAACCTAGTAATTCAATTGAAAAACTAAGAAAATGAGGCACAAACCATTCAGGACCCCTCCTCCTGGCTCTCAGGAGCTCTTCCTATTCCAATTCTAATTCCCCAATACATTTTCTGACTCTTAAGAAAGAAGAAAACAGAACATGAGAAAATGCGTAAAGAAAATGCAATCCCAGTCATCCAGTGCACCAAAGACAAACCCACGGGACAAAGAGGTGGGACGACCTGAAATCCAACCCCCCCCCCACTCCCAGGCTCTCGGAAGTCATAAAACAAAGCAAATGAATGAAGTTCTAGAAAAAGTCAACTCAGAAATAAGTTCTCACATAACTACAGAGATGGTGACCATGGTGAAAAATATGCTGAGTAACTCTAGAGCAGATACAGACAAAACATAAAATTTTTAGAAATGATGGAAATCAGGACTGCCCCAAATAGGAAAGAAACACAATCCATAAAATGAATTTGAGCCTACATCCAGGACAGTAAAACTTATACTGAAAGTATCTGTAGTAGAATATCCCAACATGAGGACAGAATCTCAGACACAAAAGACAGGCTTCATGTACTGATCATAAGAAAATCTTCATGTGGCACAGTACCATGAGATATCAATCCAGCAGATTCTAGGTCATGTAAACAATTGATTGCGAAGCCGGGCATACAGTTCAGTGGCAGAAGCAACCATCCGGCAAACCTGAGGTCATCAGTTCAATTCCCACCAACGAAAAAAAAAAAAGAATAAAAAAAAATGATTGGAGAAACTGAAAAAGCAGGAGGTGCTATGCATGATACAAAAATCCATTCACAGACAGAAAGGCAAAACACTTCCCGGACGGGGAAATAACACTCGGAAACCCAGATAAGTAAGGGATATAAAACATGATCAAAAAAATCTACAACCAAGCACATCATAATCAAGATTCCAGAAATTCATCACAAGAACAGAATACTAAAACCCACCAGAGAAATAAATAAATCATCTATAAAGAATTGGCCATTCAGAAACACAGCTGACTGTTGGGAGCCACCACATTGCCGAGCCGCCTCATATAGCGATCATGCGGCCTGTGGTAAAGAGTAAAGCCTGAGTTAGATTACCCCTCCCATCGAGCACGTTAGTTTCCTGCTTACCGCATAAACAACCCGCTCAATAATATGTTAGCCAATCAGCTTGCCTTGCTTACTTTAACATGATTGGACACTGTATCCGTATATATACTGGTGCCACCCCTGGGGGAAAGTAGAAGCCCAAAAGGAGCCGCAGAGAGCGGACCGGTAGAGGCTTCAGAGAGAAGCCCAAAAGGAGCCGCGGAGAGCGGACCGGTAGAGGCTTCGGAGCGAAGCACGAAAGGAGCCGCGGGGAGCGGACCAGAGGAGGCTTCGGCTGGGAGCGATCCCAGGACAGGCTGTACAGAGAGAAAATAAAAAAAAAGGTTGTCCACTGCCAGACTTTGTCGTGTGTCCTTCCTGCCGGCCGGGAGCGACATCGACATTTGGTGGCCCGTACGGGGAACAACTGATCACCCCCGAGACGTGGTAGTGGACAACGTTCCTTGATACAGCACTGCGAGACAGGTGAGTAGGGGATAAACCTGGGCCCTGGGTGGTGCGCACCTACAGGGTTTTTAGACTCCCCTCAGGCTCACGCGTAAGTGGCGGATTTTTGGGCCTCACGCGGTGAGTAACATATTAAATATGGGTAACGTACCGAGTAACGACACCCAGCCCTTGGTACAGGTCCTCCGGAAGCTCTTAAAGTCCAGAGACCTCAAGGTGGGACACAAAACGCTGGAGAGCTTTTTTGAGGAGATTGATAGTTTCGCTCCCTGGTTCTTGCCCACAGGGCACTTAAACCTGCCCTCGTGGGAGAAGTTGGGCAGGGATCTTTCTCTAGCGGAAAGGGAGGGCGGGGCTTCGGTCTTCGCTCGGCCACTGTGGGAAATGATATATGCATGCTTAAAGAGCGAGGGTGGTTGCAGGGAAGGCTCTCAAGAGCTCATTAAAGTGCGTAGGGCATTCAAACAGGCCCAGTCAGGGAGCTCCCGGGAGGGGTCCGTCAAAGGAGACAAAGATATAAAGGAGGAAGACGGGGCTCAGGCCTCGGAGTCGTCTGACTCCGAGAACGAAAAAGGCTTAGACAACGATGAGACCAAGGAGCCTAGATGCCAAGAGGATAGGCCGCTCGATAAGGAGTCGCAGGGTTCTTTCCCAGCGTTGCGCCGCGAATTGCGCTCCGCTCAACTTGGTCTGCGGAGGAGTAGAGAGCTCCTGAGCGCCCCCTGGCGCGAGAGGGAGGCGAAGCCTTCCGCCCCACCTTGGGGGCTGTTCCCGGAAGCGATCCCTCGCCACGAGGCGGCCGCGTGGGAGCTCCCTCCCCTTTCGCCAAAACAGGAAGTGATGCACGGGCCCCCATTTTCCGCCCAATCACGGCCGCCGTCTTATGCTCCGCCGCCGGCGGGTCGGTATTTTTACAGGCGGCTTTGGCAGGGGGGACGTTTGTCTCATGAGGTACATCCACCACCTGGGATAGATAGTGGCCCCTACGGGATATTTCCTGTACAAGTAGCTATGGGCCAGGGACGTAATACATGAGAGCCTTTTGAGATAAAACAGATTAAAAAACTTAAAAATGCAGTTACAACCTTTGGGCCGACTGCGCCTTACACCATTGCCATGCTGGAGAACCTGTCTTCTGGGCCCCTCACCCCCGCGGACTGGATTCAGCTGGCAAAGGCGTGTCTGCCCTCGGGTAGTTACCTAGATTGGCGAGCCTGGTACACAAAGTTCTCTGCCGAGCAGGCTAAAAAAAACGCCGGTCGAGGAAATGGGGGCTGGGGATTTAGCTCAGCGGCATAAGCGCCTGCCTTGTAAGCAGGCAATCGCCAGTTCGATCCCTGGTACCAATAAAAAAAAAAAAAAAAAAAAAAAAAGATAAAAATAAAAAATAAAAAATAAAAAACAAAAAGGGGGAGTAAGCCAAGGCCTGCCTCCAAAGGCGCGGTTATCTATGGCATGACAATGGATGGGCCCGGATCCGGTAATCAGCTGGAACCGAGGCGCGGTTTGTGTTTTTCTGCAGGAATCGGGACGAGAACCACTGTGGGTACCGGAGAGACTGACACGGTCGACAAAGCCCTCGACTAAAGATCAGACCTGCCCTACCGGAGATCCATCACAGACCAACCAACAAGATAAATAAAAATAGCGGTAGCCCAAAATAGACAAAAAGATCCTCAGGCATATGCATGGCTCGCTCGCCTAGCCTACAACGGAGTCTAGGGACGGTGAGCTTCCCACACTCCTCCTCTAAAAAATTATGATATAGCAGGGTAGATGAGTCAATGACGGATAAGAGCATGCCTCCCCAGCATGACTCAACCTAAGACAGGCCCTACCCCATACCGCACAAAAGCCGCTAAATTACTAGGTTCCGCCCAAACCAAATGTCGCCCCGGGGGGATCATGCGGAGCGACATGAGTATATGCCTGTGTGCATCCAGGTTCCGTCCGGTTCCTTCCTGGCCCTGGAAAAAGGACGAGGGCCTCGGGGCCTCGGCAGACTCGGGGACGGCCGACCCGGGCCGACGCCGAGAGCCCTTGGTGGGCCTCCTATCAGGGCATAGGCCTCTACACTCAATTCAGGACGGGCTGCGATGCGTAGACTTATTTAAAATAAAAAAGGGGGAGATGTTGGGAGCCACCACATTGCCGAGCCGCCGCATATAGCGATCATGCGGCCTGTGGTAAAGAGTAAAGCCTGAGTTAGATTACCCCTCCCATCGAGCACGTTAGTTTCCTGCTTACCGCGTAAACAACCCGCTCAATAATATGTTAGCCAATCAGCTTACCTTGCTTACTTTAACATGATTGGACACTGTATCCGTATATATACTGGTGCCACCCCTGGGGGAAAGTAGAAGCCCAAAAGGAGCCGCAGAGAGCGGACCGGTAGAGGCTTCAGAGAGAAGCCCAAAAGGAGCCGCGGAGAGCGGACCGGTAGAGGCTTCGGAGCGAAGCACGAAAGGAGCCGCGGGGAGCGGACCAGAGGAGGCTTCGGCTGGGAGCGATCCCAGGACAGGCTGTACAGAGAGAAAATAAAAAAACAGGTTGTCCACTGCCAGACTTTGTCGTGTGTCCTTCCTGCCGGCCGGGAGCGACATCGACAGCTGACTTCTCAACACAAGTCAAGATCCTGGAGAGAAGCATTTCAAGTCCCACAAGAAAACAACCTCCAACCCAGAGTGATGTACTCCACAAAACTATCTTTCAGAACTGATTGAGAAATAAGACCCTGCTATGTGAATGAACACCTGAGGAAATTCATGAGCACCAGTCCAGCACTCTAAAATATTCTGAAGGACACTCTAGGAAGAGATACCAAAGACGACAGTTCCATCAATCCCAGCACAATGAATCCACCAGGGAGGCAAACAGTGACATAGGACTTGAGAGAGACAAGGCAGTGAAAAAACAGGAAAATTACATGACAAGGATGAGTCAATACTATCACTTATAATCATCCAGGTGAATGCTCTCAATTCACCAATCAAAACAAACAGACTGGCAGAATGCATCAAGAAGCAAGATTCAACAACATGCTGCATGCAAGAAACACACTGACCTCTAAGGAAATTCACAGACTGAAAGTCAAGGCTGGAGAACAACCCTCTATGTGACAAGAACCTGGAAAAAGAAGGGTAGTTGCTCTACTTGCAGACAAAGTGGATTTCAAGCCAAGATTAAGTGACAAAGAAGGTTACTACAGCTGGGAAACGGAATAATCCAAAAGGGAGAGAGGGCAATCAAAAATACATATGCACCAAACACCAATGCATTCAGCTAAATGAGACCAATATTAAAGGACATGAAAAATCAATTAAGCACTAATACAGTTGTACTGGGGGACCTCAATACCCCACATTCCTAAACACACAAAACTAACAGAAAATCAACAATGAAATATTAGAATGGAACCCAACTTTGGAGCAAATGAGCTACGCAGATGTCTACACAGCGATCTCCTCTCAACCTTTACAATATGCATTGTTCTTAGCTGCAAATAGGATGCTCTAGAAAATAGACGACTTACCAGCACATAGAACATGCTTATTCAAATTCAAAGAAATTGAAATTCTCCTGTGCATACATTATCAGACCACAGTGCGATGAGATTGGAAAGCGATGGCAAAAGAAATGAAAAGAATTTCGTAAGTGCACAGAAATTAAATAGCATCCTCCTAAAATCCTTGCTGCCCTCACCTGTAGTAGCATTGAGAGTCTCCCTGGTGCTGTTGACTCCGTCTTTTTCCACCCACACAGAAAACTCATATGAAGTCCCAGAACGCAGTTCCTCCACGGTGACACAGGTGTCTGTGGTCCTCTGGGTCTCAATTGTGTTGCTGTCTCCAGTCCACTGCACATAGTAGGTGAGGTTCTGGGAGTCTGACTCCTCGGGCCGCTCCCAGCACAGTCTGATGGACCTGTTGGTCTGACTTTCCACTCGCAGGCTGCTCACTGGGTTGGGGGCTGAGCACAGGGACAGAAGGAAAATCAGGTTCATTTTCCCAGTCCTCACATTTGCCTGCCCTCTACTCGTGGACTTGGAAGACTTGAGAAGCTCAGACCTGCACCGAAGAACAGGACAGCACAGGGCCCGAGGGACTCAGGAGCTCTGTGACAGGCTCCTGCCAGGTGCACAGTGAGGACGCGGGAGGTTGGCACAGTCAGTATAAAGCTGGGACCACAAATTTTATACACTGGAGTACTACTCAGCTATAAAGAATGATCACATTGAGATATTTATAAATAAATGGACTCAGATTAACAGAATACTCAAAAGTGAAATAAATCAAACTCACATGGAAAAATACACAAGAGTTTCCCTAGGGTAACAAATGCAAAGAATACATGAAATTATGTGGTAATCGTGATTCCCCATTACATTCCTTTCAAACCTTATAATGCTTTCATTTATTAGTTGGAATGATTTTATTCTGGGTTCTTTGATTTTGTTGTTTGTGATGATATCAACAGTTATTTTGAAGAAAACAAAACATTATAACGCCTAGTGCTGATTTACTATCGTCTTGTTTTGACATCCAACCAAGCTTCTGTGCTTCTGTCTTCCCTGGTTTTACCATGCTGTATCTTATTGGATTTTATTATATGTGATAGTATAAACAAAATTTTTTATAGACAAGGAAATAATACAGTAACCATTGTTGCTCTTTTGTTAGTTGGTTATGAATACCCTGTGATACTTTCATTCTCATGAGGGGTTTTCTACTGTCTTATTATGTTTGATACTATAGTATTTAAAGGTATATTGAAACATTTCAAGGAAACACACACTGTGGTGGCTACTGTTACGTCAGGTCATCTGGTGGTGACACACTATGTTCCTTAAATTGTTCTGTTGTATCCTGTGTTGTGATGTCCTCATTTATCTTAATCTTTTTTCAAATAAAATAAAACATAAAAAACAAGCTAGGACCACAAAGCCTCATTCATGCTTTCGCTTTCTATGTAAATTACAGGTTGAAACGGAACTGCTTCACATTGTCACACTCCATCATACATGCTGTGGTGATTCACTTTGGCTCATTTTCGTTTTCCACATTTTTGTGTGGCTCACAGAAAGCTGAAGTTTCTGTGTGTGTTTTTTGTGTATTTCTATTGAATCACCATACTTGCCACTTTCTCCTGACCTTTCTCAAGCACGCAGTACCAATCCATACAAAAGGAGAGCCCAACAGCCAAGTGTCTTGTTGTATCCCCAACCCCAGAATCTAGGAGGCTGGGAAAGGAGGATCTCAATTCAATTTGTGCTGGGGAAATTGAGCAAAACATTTCCTTAAAACAAGCAAACAAACACAAACACGATGCAGAGAAAAGATCGGTGTGAAGATTCATCAGTGAATCTCCAGTACCATGGAACTGAGGAGCTTAAAATACTGGCTGCCAGGTTTCAGCTAGATTTAGGGGAAAAGGACACAGTGGTAGGCAGCAGACAAAGACCCTCTCTGAGTCTCGCTGTGCACACACTGGAAGATACCTATGACAGGAAGAAATGAAACAGGGAAGTTGTCCCCTGGACCCAGGAAAGATCTGAAGCAAGATTTGAAGACCATGGTTTGAGGCAACAGAGAAACTTCAACAAAGAAGAAGCGAGTAGTGGGCTACCCTTTCTCCTAGTGTTGCATCTCATTGTGTGAAAAGAGCTGTACTAATTTAGAGACACACAGGGACTGTCGAGAACCCCAGAGGCCTCCACACAGACATGCAGCAATGGGAGGAAGCATTAGAGGCCAAGAAGTGCACTAGCTGCCGTGACTGCTTCTCCTGTGGGACTGGATGCCCCACGGGGGACAGTGATTGGCTGTGACCCGTCTTGGACAGGGGCCAAATGAGCTTCAAATGCAGAATAGCCCTTGGCCCCATTTAGCAGCTTCAGCTCAGTTCAAGCATTTAGAAGACCCCTGATTTCTAAAGGGGCAGGCTTGCTGAGATTATCCACTACCTGGCCATGAATCCACTGCAGGGTTCCTGGGATAAGTCAGCACACTGCTGGACTTTGTCTCCACACATTATCTACCAGTGACAGCAGAGAGAAACCCGCAAGTGATTTTTTTCAATCTGTCTTCTCTTATTGCTTTGTTTTACTCTTAATGGTTTGATCTTATTTTTATGTGAATGTGAGTGTAGTTTTTAGTCTTACTCTGGCTGTTGTTCTAGGGTTCTTTTGTTTGCTTGTTTGTTTTGGTACTGGGGACGAAACTTACAAGAGCAGCCTGAAAGTCCGGCAGTTATGGTGCTGAGCTAAGTCCCCAGCCTGTTTTTTGTTTTATTTCCTCCTTTTCTCTTTCCGTCCTATCTTCTGCACAAATCCCCCAAGGTATTGCATGATCTACCTTTACCCTCTAGCCTTGCTTCTAATCCTTTACTCTTCTTCAATTTCTATGCTTTTTCCAAAATAACATTTTAATTTTTCTCCTCTGAGAGTAAAATTTACATAAGGTAGTCTTTTGCTTATTGGCTACAGTTTTCCAATTTGGGTTAGATTTTGTTACTACAATTCTGCTTCTTAAAGCTAAAGGTGGCACATTAGTGATTACCTCAGTTTGCAGTTTTCTGTGTTTGTTTCATGCTACAGTTACTGCTAATTGTACCACTTCAGCCAAAGTGACATAACTGTTCCAACCAACTGTTCTTCCAGGTGTAAAGCAGGACTGAGGTTGCCTAAGGGCCATACAAAACACTGTGGGCCGATAACAAAGAACCAAGTGCTCGACCAACCAGGCAGCAATTTCTTATCCCCAATAAACTGAAGTGTTGGATCTTGAAACACTCACAATCTAAGAGCCAGCTCCACCTGCATGATGTCCCTGACAAAGTCATTTTCTAAGGGTTCTAAATACAACCAATAAAACTGTACCCAATATGCAACTGAAAAACATCAACCTAGTAATTCAATTGAAAAACTAAGAAAATGAGGCACAAACCATTCAGGACCCCTCCTCCTGGCTCTCAGGAGCTCTTCCTATTCCAATTCTAATTCCCCAATACATTTTCTGACTCTTAAGAAAGAAGAAAACAGAACATGAGAAAATGCGTAAAGAAAATGCAATCCCAGTCATCCAGTGCACCAAAGACAAACCCACGGGACAAAGAGGTGGGACGACCTGAAATCCAACCCCCCCCCCACTCCCAGGCTCTCGGAAGTCATAAAACAAAGCAAATGAATGAAGTTCTAGAAAAAGTCAACTCAGAAATAAGTTCTCACATAACTACAGAGATGGTGACCATGGTGAAAAATATGCTGAGTAACTCTAGAGCAGATACAGACAAAACATAAAATTTTTAGAAATGATGGAAATCAGGACTGCCCCAAATAGGAAAGAAACACAATCCATAAAATGAATTTGAGCCTACATCCAGGACAGTAAAACTTATACTGAAAGTATCTGTAGTAGAATATCCCAACATGAGGACAGAATCTCAGACACAAAAGACAGGCTTCATGTACTGATCATAAGAAAATCTTCATGTGGCACAGTACCATGAGATATCAATCCAGCAGATTCTAGGTCATGTAAACAATTGATTGCGAAGCCGGGCATACAGTTCAGTGGCAGAAGCAACCATCCGGCAAACCTGAGGTCATCAGTTCAATTCCCACCAACGAAAAAAAAAAAAGAATAAAAAAAAATGATTGGAGAAACTGAAAAAGCAGGAGGTGCTATGCATGATACAAAAATCCATTCACAGACAGAAAGGCAAAACACTTCCCGGACGGGGAAATAACACTCGGAAACCCAGATAAGTAAGGGATATAAAACATGATCAAAAAAATCTACAACCAAGCACATCATAATCAAGATTCCAGAAATTCATCACAAGAACAGAATACTAAAACCCACCAGAGAAATAAATAAATCATCTATAAAGAATTGGCCATTCAGAAACACAGCTGACTGTTGGGAGCCACCACATTGCCGAGCCGCCTCATATAGCGATCATGCGGCCTGTGGTAAAGAGTAAAGCCTGAGTTAGATTACCCCTCCCATCGAGCACGTTAGTTTCCTGCTTACCGCATAAACAACCCGCTCAATAATATGTTAGCCAATCAGCTTGCCTTGCTTACTTTAACATGATTGGACACTGTATCCGTATATATACTGGTGCCACCCCTGGGGGAAAGTAGAAGCCCAAAAGGAGCCGCAGAGAGCGGACCGGTAGAGGCTTCAGAGAGAAGCCCAAAAGGAGCCGCGGAGAGCGGACCGGTAGAGGCTTCGGAGCGAAGCACGAAAGGAGCCGCGGGGAGCGGACCAGAGGAGGCTTCGGCTGGGAGCGATCCCAGGACAGGCTGTACAGAGAGAAAATAAAAAAAAAAGGTTGTCCACTGCCAGACTTTGTCGTGTGTCCTTCCTGCCGGCCGGGAGCGACATCGACATTTGGTGGCCCGTACGGGGAACAACTGATCACCCCCGAGACGTGGTAGTGGACAACGTTCCTTGATACAGCACTGCGAGACAGGTGAGTAGGGGATAAACCTGGGCCCTGGGTGGTGCGCACCTACAGGGTTTTTAGACTCCCCTCAGGCTCACGCGTAAGTGGCGGATTTTTGGGCCTCACGCGGTGAGTAACATATTAAATATGGGTAACGTACCGAGTAACGACACCCAGCCCTTGGTACAGGTCCTCCGGAAGCTCTTAAAGTCCAGAGACCTCAAGGTGGGACACAAAACGCTGGAGAGCTTTTTTGAGGAGATTGATAGTTTCGCTCCCTGGTTCTTGCCCACAGGGCACTTAAACCTGCCCTCGTGGGAGAAGTTGGGCAGGGATCTTTCTCTAGCGGAAAGGGAGGGCGGGGCTTCGGTCTTCGCTCGGCCACTGTGGGAAATGATATATGCATGCTTAAAGAGCGAGGGTGGTTGCAGGGAAGGCTCTCAAGAGCTCATTAAAGTGCGTAGGGCATTCAAACAGGCCCAGTCAGGGAGCTCCCGGGAGGGGTCCGTCAAAGGAGACAAAGATATAAAGGAGGAAGACGGGGCTCAGGCCTCGGAGTCGTCTGACTCCGAGAACGAAAAAGGCTTAGACAACGATGAGACCAAGGAGCCTAGATGCCAAGAGGATAGGCCGCTCGATAAGGAGTCGCAGGGTTCTTTCCCAGCGTTGCGCCGCGAATTGCGCTCCGCTCAACTTGGTCTGCGGAGGAGTAGAGAGCTCCTGAGCGCCCCCTGGCGCGAGAGGGAGGCGAAGCCTTCCGCCCCACCTTGGGGGCTGTTCCCGGAAGCGATCCCTCGCCACGAGGCGGCTGCGTGGGAGCTCCCTCCCCTTTCGCCAAAACAGGAAGTGATGCACGGGCCCCCATTTTCCGCCCAATCACGGCCGCCGTCTTATGCTCCGCCGCCGGCGGGTCGGTATTTTTACAGGCGGCTTTGGCAGGGGGGACGTTTGTCTCATGAGGTACATCCACCACCTGGGATAGATAGTGGCCCCTACGGGATATTTCCTGTACAAGTAGCTATGGGCCAGGGACGTAATACATGAGAGCCTTTTGAGATAAAACAGATTAAAAAACTTAAAAATGCAGTTACAACCTTTGGGCCGACTGCGCCTTACACCATTGCCATGCTGGAGAACCTGTCTTCTGGGCCCCTCACCCCCGCGGACTGGATTCAGCTGGCAAAGGCGTGTCTGCCCTCGGGTAGTTACCTAGATTGGCGAGCCTGGTACACAAAGTTCTCTGCCGAGCAGGCTAAAAAAAACGCCGGTCGAGGAAATGGGGGCTGGGGATTTAGCTCAGCGGCATAAGCGCCTGCCTTGTAAGCAGGCAATCGCCAGTTCGATCCCTGGTACCAATAAAAAAAAAAAAAAAAAAAAAAAAAGATAAAAATAAAAAATAAAAAATAAAAAACAAAAAGGGGGAGTAAGCCAAGGCCTGCCTCCAAAGGCGCGGTTATCTATGGCATGACAATGGATGGGCCCGGATCCGGTAATCAGCTGGAACCGAGGCGCGGTTTGTGTTTTTCTGCAGGAATCGGGACGAGAACCACTGTGGGTACCGGAGAGACTGACACGGTCGACAAAGCCCTCGACTAAAGATCAGACCTGCCCTACCGGAGATCCATCACAGACCAACCAACAAGATAAATAAAAATAGCGGTAGCCCAAAATAGACAAAAAGATCCTCAGGCATATGCATGGCTCGCTCGCCTAGCCTACAACGGAGTCTAGGGACGGTGAGCTTCCCACACTCCTCCTCTAAAAAATTATGATATAGCAGGGTAGATGAGTCAATGACGGATAAGAGCATGCCTCCCCAGCATGACTCAACCTAAGACAGGCCCTACCCCATACCGCACAAAAGCCGCTAAATTACTAGGTTCCGCCCAAACCAAATGTCGCCCCGGGGGGATCATGCGGAGCGACATGAGTATATGCCTGTGTGCATCCAGGTTCCGTCCGGTTCCTTCCTGGCCCTGGAAAAAGGACGAGGGCCTCGGGGCCTCGGCAGACTCGGGGACGGCCGACCCGGGCCGACGCCGAGAGCCCTTGGTGGGCCTCCTATCAGGGCATAGGCCTCTACACTCAATTCAGGACGGGCTGCGATGCGTAGACTTATTTAAAATAAAAAAGGGGGAGATGTTGGGAGCCACCACATTGCCGAGCCGCCGCATATAGCGATCATGCGGCCTGTGGTAAAGAGTAAAGCCTGAGTTAGATTACCCCTCCCATCGAGCACGTTAGTTTCCTGCTTACCGCGTAAACAACCCGCTCAATAATATGTTAGCCAATCAGCTTACCTTGCTTACTTTAACATGATTGGACACTGTATCCGTATATATACTGGTGCCACCCCTGGGGGAAAGTAGAAGCCCAAAAGGAGCCGCAGAGAGCGGACCGGTAGAGGCTTCAGAGAGAAGCCCAAAAGGAGCCGCGGAGAGCGGACCGGTAGAGGCTTCGGAGCGAAGCACGAAAGGAGCCGCGGGGAGCGGACCAGAGGAGGCTTCGGCTGGGAGCGATCCCAGGACAGGCTGTACAGAGAGAAAATAAAAAAACAGGTTGTCCACTGCCAGACTTTGTCGTGTGTCCTTCCTGCCGGCCGGGAGCGACATCGACAGCTGACTTCTCAACACAAGTCAAGATCCTGGAGAGAAGCATTTCAAGTCCCACAAGAAAACAACCTCCAACCCAGAGTGATGTACTCCACAAAACTATCTTTCAGAACTGATTGAGAAATAAGACCCTGCTATGTGAATGAACACCTGAGGAAATTCATGAGCACCAGTCCAGCACTCTAAAATATTCTGAAGGACACTCTAGGAAGAGATACCAAAGACGACAGTTCCATCAATCCCAGCACAATGAATCCACCAGGGAGGCAAACAGTGACATAGGACTTGAGAGAGACAAGGCAGTGAAAAAACAGGAAAATTACATGACAAGGATGAGTCAATACTATCACTTATAATCATCCAGGTGAATGCTCTCAATTCACCAATCAAAACAAACAGACTGGCAGAATGCATCAAGAAGCAAGATTCAACAACATGCTGCATGCAAGAAACACACTGACCTCTAAGGAAATTCACAGACTGAAAGTCAAGGCTGGAGAACAACCCTCTATGTGACAAGAACCTGGAAAAAGAAGGGTAGTTGCTCTACTTGCAGACAAAGTGGATTTCAAGCCAAGATTAAGTGACAAAGAAGGTTACTACAGCTGGGAAACGGAATAATCCAAAAGGGAGAGAGGGCAATCAAAAATACATATGCACCAAACACCAATGCATTCAGCTAAATGAGACCAATATTAAAGGACATGAAAAATCAATTAAGCACTAATACAGTTGTACTGGGGGACCTCAATACCCCACATTCCTAAACACACAAAACTAACAGAAAATCAACAATGAAATATTAGAATGGAACCCAACTTTGGAGCAAATGAGCTACGCAGATGTCTACACAGCGATCTCCTCTCAACCTTTACAATATGCATTGTTCTTAGCTGCAAATAGGATGCTCTAGAAAATAGACGACTTACCAGCACATAGAACATGCTTATTCAAATTCAAAGAAATTGAAATTCTCCTGTGCATACATTATCAGACCACAGTGCGATGAGATTGGAAAGCGATGGCAAAAGAAATGAAAAGAATTTCGTAAGTGCACAGAAATTAAATAGCATCCTCCTAAAATCCTTGCTGCCCTCACCTGTAGTAGCATTGAGAGTCTCCCTGGTGCTGTTGACTCCGTCTTTTTCCACCCACACAGAAAACTCATATGAAGTCCCAGAACGCAGTTCCTCCACGGTGACACAGGTGTCTGTGGTCCTCTGGGTCTCAATTGTGTTGCTGTCTCCAGTCCACTGCACATAGTAGGTGAGGTTCTGGGAGTCTGACTCCTCGGGCCGCTCCCAGCACAGTCTGATGGACCTGTTGGTCTGACTTTCCACTCGCAGGCTGCTCACTGGGTTGGGGGCTGAGCACAGGGACAGAAGGAAAATCAGGTTCATTTTCCCAGTCCTCACATTTGCCTGCCCTCTACTCGTGGACTTGGAAGACTTGAGAAGCTCAGACCTGCACCGAAGAACAGGACAGCACAGGGCCCGAGGGACTCAGGAGCTCTGTGACAGGCTCCTGCCAGGTGCACAGTGAGGACGCGGGAGGTTGGCACAGTCAGTATAAAGCTGGGACCACAAATTTTATACACTGGAGTACTACTCAGCTATAAAGAATGATCACATTGAGATATTTATAAATAAATGGACTCAGATTAACAGAATACTCAAAAGTGAAATAAATCAAACTCACATGGAAAAATACACAAGAGTTTCCCTAGGGTAACAAATGCAAAGAATACATGAAATTATGTGGTAATCGTGATTCCCCATTACATTCCTTTCAAACCTTATAATGCTTTCATTTATTAGTTGGAATGATTTTATTCTGGGTTCTTTGATTTTGTTGTTTGTGATGATATCAACAGTTATTTTGAAGAAAACAAAACATTATAACGCCTAGTGCTGATTTACTATCGTCTTGTTTTGACATCCAACCAAGCTTCTGTGCTTCTGTCTTCCCTGGTTTTACCATGCTGTATCTTATTGGATTTTATTATATGTGATAGTATAAACAAAATTTTTTATAGACAAGGAAATAATACAGTAACCATTGTTGCTCTTTTGTTAGTTGGTTATGAATACCCTGTGATACTTTCATTCTCATGAGGGGTTTTCTACTGTCTTATTATGTTTGATACTATAGTATTTAAAGGTATATTGAAACATTTCAAGGAAACACACACTGTGGTGGCTACTGTTACGTCAGGTCATCTGGTGGTGACACACTATGTTCCTTAAATTGTTCTGTTGTATCCTGTGTTGTGATGTCCTCATTTATCTTAATCTTTTTTCAAATAAAATAAAACATAAAAAACAAGCTAGGACCACAAAGCCTCATTCATGCTTTCGCTTTCTATGTAAATTACAGGTTGAAACGGAACTGCTTCACATTGTCACACTCCATCATACATGCTGTGGTGATTCACTTTGGCTCATTTTCGTTTTCCACATTTTTGTGTGGCTCACAGAAAGCTGAAGTTTCTGTGTGTGTTTTTTGTGTATTTCTATTGAATCACCATACTTGCCACTTTCTCCTGACTTTTCTCAAGCACGCAGTACCAATCCATACAAAAGGAGAGCCCAACAGCCAAGTGTCTTGTTGTATCCCCAACCCCAGAATCTAGGAGGCTGGGAAAGGAGGATCTCAATTCAATTTGTGCTGGGGAAATTGAGCAAAACATTTCCTTAAAACAAGCAAACAAACACAAACACGATGCAGAGAAAAGATCGGTGTGAAGATTCATCAGTGAATCTCCAGTACCATGGAACTGAGGAGCTTAAAATACTGGCTGCCAGGTTTCAGCTAGATTTAGGGGAAAAGGACACAGTGGTAGGCAGCAGACAAAGACCCTCTCTGAGTCTCGCTGTGCACACACTGGAAGATACCTATGACAGGAAGAAATGAAACAGGGAAGTTGTCCCCTGGACCCAGGAAAGATCTGAAGCAAGATTTGAAGACCATGGTTTGAGGCAACAGAGAAACTTCAACAAAGAAGAAGCGAGTAGTGGGCTACCCTTTCTCCTAGTGTTGCATCTCATTGTGTGAAAAGAGCTGTACTAATTTAGAGACACACAGGGACTGTCGAGAACCCCAGAGGCCTCCACACAGACATGCAGCAATGGGAGGAAGCATTAGAGGCCAAGAAGTGCACTAGCTGCCGTGACTGCTTCTCCTGTGGGACTGGATGCCCCACGGGGGACAGTGATTGGCTGTGACCCGTCTTGGACAGGGGCCAAATGAGCTTCAAATGCAGAATAGCCCTTGGCCCCATTTAGCAGCTTCAGCTCAGTTCAAGCATTTAGAAGACCCCTGATTTCTAAAGGGGCAGGCTTGCTGAGATTATCCACTACCTGGCCATGAATCCACTGCAGGGTTCCTGGGATAAGTCAGCACACTGCTGGACTTTGTCTCCACACATTATCTACCAGTGACAGCAGAGAGAAACCCGCAAGTGATTTTTTTCAATCTGTCTTCTCTTATTGCTTTGTTTTACTCTTAATGGTTTGATCTTATTTTTATGTGAATGTGAGTGTAGTTTTTAGTCTTACTCTGGCTGTTGTTCTAGGGTTCTTTTGTTTGCTTGTTTGTTTTGGTACTGGGGACGAAACTTACAAGAGCAGCCTGAAAGTCCGGCAGTTATGGTGCTGAGCTAAGTCCCCAGCCTGTTTTTTGTTTTATTTCCTCCTTTTCTCTTTCCGTCCTATCTTCTGCACAAATCCCCCAAGGTATTGCATGATCTACCTTTACCCTCTAGCCTTGCTTCTAATCCTTTACTCTTCTTCAATTTCTATGCTTTTTCCAAAATAACATTTTAATTTTTCTCCTCTGAGAGTAAAATTTACATAAGGTAGTCTTTTGCTTATTGGCTACAGTTTTCCAATTTGGGTTAGATTTTGTTACTACAATTCTGCTTCTTAAAGCTAAAGGTGGCACATTAGTGATTACCTCAGTTTGCAGTTTTCTGTGTTTGTTTCATGCTACAGTTACTGCTAATTGTACCACTTCAGCCAAAGTGACATAACTGTTCCAACCAACTGTTCTTCCAGGTGTAAAGCAGGACTGAGGTTGCCTAAGGGCCATACAAAACACTGTGGGCCGATAACAAAGAACCAAGTGCTCGACCAACCAGGCAGCAATTTCTTATCCCCAATAAACTGAAGTGTTGGATCTTGAAACACTCACAATCTAAGAGCCAGCTCCACCTGCATGATGTCCCTGACAAAGTCATTTTCTAAGAGTTCTAAATACAACCAATAAAACTGTACCCAATATGCAACTGAAAAACATCAACCTAGTAATTCAATTGAAAAACTAAGAAAATGAGGCACAAACCATTCAGGACCCCTCCTCCTGGCTCTCAGGAGCTCTTCCTATTCCAATTCTAATTCCCCAATACATTTTCTGACTCTTAAGAAAGAAGAAAACAGAACATGAGAAAATGCGTAAAGAAAATGCAATCCCAGTCATCCAGTGCACCAAAGACAAACCCACGGGACAAAGAGGTGGGACGACCTGAAATCCAACCCCCCCCCCACTCCCAGGCTCTCGGAAGTCATAAAACAAAGCAAATGAATGAAGTTCTAGAAAAAGTCAACTCAGAAATAAGTTCTCACATAACTACAGAGATGGTGACCATGGTGAAAAATATGCTGAGTAACTCTAGAGCAGATACAGACAAAACATAAAATTTTTAGAAATGATGGAAATCAGGACTGCCCCAAATAGGAAAGAAACACAATCCATAAAATGAATTTGAGCCTACATCCAGGACAGTAAAACTTATACTGAAAGTATCTGTAGTAGAATATCCCAACATGAGGACAGAATCTCAGACACAAAAGACAGGCTTCATGTACTGATCATAAGAAAATCTTCATGTGGCACAGTACCATGAGATATCAATCCAGCAGATTCTAGGTCATGTAAACAATTGATTGCGAAGCCGGGCATACAGTTCAGTGGCAGAAGCAACCATCCGGCAAACCTGAGGTCATCAGTTCAATTCCCACCAACGAAAAAAAAAAAAGAATAAAAAAAAATGATTGGAGAAACTGAAAAAGCAGGAGGTGCTATGCATGATACAAAAATCCATTCACAGACAGAAAGGCAAAACACTTCCCGGACGGGGAAATAACACTCGGAAACCCAGATAAGTAAGGGATATAAAACATGATCAAAAAAATCTACAACCAAGCACATCATAATCAAGATTCCAGAAATTCATCACAAGAACAGAATACTAAAACCCACCAGAGAAATAAATAAATCATCTATAAAGAATTGGCCATTCAGAAACACAGCTGACTGTTGGGAGCCACCACATTGCCGAGCCGCCTCATATAGCGATCATGCGGCCTGTGGTAAAGAGTAAAGCCTGAGTTAGATTACCCCTCCCATCGAGCACGTTAGTTTCCTGCTTACCGCATAAACAACCCGCTCAATAATATGTTAGCCAATCAGCTTGCCTTGCTTACTTTAACATGATTGGACACTGTATCCGTATATATACTGGTGCCACCCCTGGGGGAAAGTAGAAGCCCAAAAGGAGCCGCAGAGAGCGGACCGGTAGAGGCTTCAGAGAGAAGCCCAAAAGGAGCCGCGGAGAGCGGACCGGTAGAGGCTTCGGAGCGAAGCACGAAAGGAGCCGCGGGGAGCGGACCAGAGGAGGCTTCGGCTGGGAGCGATCCCAGGACAGGCTGTACAGAGAGAAAATAAAAAAAAAGGTTGTCCACTGCCAGACTTTGTCGTGTGTCCTTCCTGCCGGCCGGGAGCGACATCGACATTTGGTGGCCCGTACGGGGAACAACTGATCACCCCCGAGACGTGGTAGTGGACAACGTTCCTTGATACAGCACTGCGAGACAGGTGAGTAGGGGATAAACCTGGGCCCTGGGTGGTGCGCACCTACAGGGTTTTTAGACTCCCCTCAGGCTCACGCGTAAGTGGCGGATTTTTGGGCCTCACGCGGTGAGTAACATATTAAATATGGGTAACGTACCGAGTAACGACACCCAGCCCTTGGTACAGGTCCTCCGGAAGCTCTTAAAGTCCAGAGACCTCAAGGTGGGACACAAAACGCTGGAGAGCTTTTTTGAGGAGATTGATAGTTTCGCTCCCTGGTTCTTGCCCACAGGGCACTTAAACCTGCCCTCGTGGGAGAAGTTGGGCAGGGATCTTTCTCTAGCGGAAAGGGAGGGCGGGGCTTCGGTCTTCGCTCGGCCACTGTGGGAAATGATATATGCATGCTTAAAGAGCGAGGGTGGTTGCAGGGAAGGCTCTCAAGAGCTCATTAAAGTGCGTAGGGCATTCAAACAGGCCCAGTCAGGGAGCTCCCGGGAGGGGTCCGTCAAAGGAGACAAAGATATAAAGGAGGAAGACGGGGCTCAGGCCTCGGAGTCGTCTGACTCCGAGAACGAAAAAGGCTTAGACAACGATGAGACCAAGGAGCCTAGATGCCAAGAGGATAGGCCGCTCGATAAGGAGTCGCAGGGTTCTTTCCCAGCGTTGCGCCGCGAATTGCGCTCCGCTCAACTTGGTCTGCGGAGGAGTAGAGAGCTCCTGAGCGCCCCCTGGCGCGAGAGGGAGGCGAAGCCTTCCGCCCCACCTTGGGGGCTGTTCCCGGAAGCGATCCCTCGCCACGAGGCGGCCGCGTGGGAGCTCCCTCCCCTTTCGCCAAAACAGGAAGTGATGCACGGGCCCCCATTTTCCGCCCAATCACGGCCGCCGTCTTATGCTCCGCCGCCGGCGGGTCGGTATTTTTACAGGCGGCTTTGGCAGGGGGGACGTTTGTCTCATGAGGTACATCCACCACCTGGGATAGATAGTGGCCCCTACGGGATATTTCCTGTACAAGTAGCTATGGGCCAGGGACGTAATACATGAGAGCCTTTTGAGATAAAACAGATTAAAAAACTTAAAAATGCAGTTACAACCTTTGGGCCGACTGCGCCTTACACCATTGCCATGCTGGAGAACCTGTCTTCTGGGCCCCTCACCCCCGCGGACTGGATTCAGCTGGCAAAGGCGTGTCTGCCCTCGGGTAGTTACCTAGATTGGCGAGCCTGGTACACAAAGTTCTCTGCCGAGCAGGCTAAAAAAAACGCCGGTCGAGGAAATGGGGGCTGGGGATTTAGCTCAGCGGCATAAGCGCCTGCCTTGTAAGCAGGCAATCGCCAGTTCGATCCCTGGTACCAATAAAAAAAAAAAAAAAAAAAAAAAAAAAAGATAAAAATAAAAAATAAAAAATAAAAAACAAAAAGGGGGAGTAAGCCAAGGCCTGCCTCCAAAGGCGCGGTTATCTATGGCATGACAATGGATGGGCCCGGATCCGGTAATCAGCTGGAACCGAGGCGCGGTTTGTGTTTTTCTGCAGGAATCGGGACGAGAACCACTGTGGGTACCGGAGAGACTGACACGGTCGACAAAGCCCTCGACTAAAGATCAGACCTGCCCTACCGGAGATCCATCACAGACCAACCAACAAGATAAATAAAAATAGCGGTAGCCCAAAATAGACAAAAAGATCCTCAGGCATATGCATGGCTCGCTCGCCTAGCCTACAACGGAGTCTAGGGACGGTGAGCTTCCCACACTCCTCCTCTAAAAAATTATGATATAGCAGGGTAGATGAGTCAATGACGGATAAGAGCATGCCTCCCCAGCATGACTCAACCTAAGACAGGCCCTACCCCATACCGCACAAAAGCCGCTAAATTACTAGGTTCCGCCCAAACCAAATGTCGCCCCGGGGGGATCATGCGGAGCGACATGAGTATATGCCTGTGTGCATCCAGGTTCCGTCCGGTTCCTTCCTGGCCCTGGAAAAAGGACGAGGGCCTCGGGGCCTCGGCAGACTCGGGGACGGCCGACCCGGGCCGACGCCGAGAGCCCTTGGTGGGCCTCCTATCAGGGCATAGGCCTCTACACTCAATTCAGGACGGGCTGCGATGCGTAGACTTATTTAAAATAAAAAAGGGGGAGATGTTGGGAGCCACCACATTGCCGAGCCGCCGCATATAGCGATCATGCGGCCTGTGGTAAAGAGTAAAGCCTGAGTTAGATTACCCCTCCCATCGAGCACGTTAGTTTCCTGCTTACCGCGTAAACAACCCGCTCAATAATATGTTAGCCAATCAGCTTACCTTGCTTACTTTAACATGATTGGACACTGTATCCGTATATATACTGGTGCCACCCCTGGGGGAAAGTAGAAGCCCAAAAGGAGCCGCAGAGAGCGGACCGGTAGAGGCTTCAGAGAGAAGCCCAAAAGGAGCCGCGGAGAGCGGACCGGTAGAGGCTTCGGAGCGAAGCACGAAAGGAGCCGCGGGGAGCGGACCAGAGGAGGCTTCGGCTGGGAGCGATCCCAGGACAGGCTGTACAGAGAGAAAATAAAAAAACAGGTTGTCCACTGCCAGACTTTGTCGTGTGTCCTTCCTGCCGGCCGGGAGCGACATCGACAGCTGACTTCTCAACACAAGTCAAGATCCTGGAGAGAAGCATTTCAAGTCCCACAAGAAAACAACCTCCAACCCAGAGTGATGTACTCCACAAAACTATCTTTCAGAACTGATTGAGAAATAAGACCCTGCTATGTGAATGAACACCTGAGGAAATTCATGAGCACCAGTCCAGCACTCTAAAATATTCTGAAGGACACTCTAGGAAGAGATACCAAAGACGACAGTTCCATCAATCCCAGCACAATGAATCCACCAGGGAGGCAAACAGTGACATAGGACTTGAGAGAGACAAGGCAGTGAAAAAACAGGAAAATTACATGACAAGGATGAGTCAATACTATCACTTATAATCATCCAGGTGAATGCTCTCAATTCACCAATCAAAACAAACAGACTGGCAGAATGCATCAAGAAGCAAGATTCAACAACATGCTGCATGCAAGAAACACACTGACCTCTAAGGAAATTCACAGACTGAAAGTCAAGGCTGGAGAACAACCCTCTATGTGACAAGAACCTGGAAAAAGAAGGGTAGTTGCTCTACTTGCAGACAAAGTGGATTTCAAGCCAAGATTAAGTGACAAAGAAGGTTACTACAGCTGGGAAACGGAATAATCCAAAAGGGAGAGAGGGCAATCAAAAATACATATGCACCAAACACCAATGCATTCAGCTAAATGAGACCAATATTAAAGGACATGAAAAATCAATTAAGCACTAATACAGTTGTACTGGGGGACCTCAATACCCCACATTCCTAAACACACAAAACTAACAGAAAATCAACAATGAAATATTAGAATGGAACCCAACTTTGGAGCAAATGAGCTACGCAGATGTCTACACAGCGATCTCCTCTCAACCTTTACAATATGCATTGTTCTTAGCTGCAAATAGGATGCTCTAGAAAATAGACGACTTACCAGCACATAGAACATGCTTATTCAAATTCAAAGAAATTGAAATTCTCCTGTGCATACATTATCAGACCACAGTGCGATGAGATTGGAAAGCGATGGCAAAAGAAATGAAAAGAATTTCGTAAGTGCACAGAAATTAAATAGCATCCTCCTAAAATCCTTGCTGCCCTCACCTGTAGTAGCATTGAGAGTCTCCCTGGTGCTGTTGACTCCGTCTTTTTCCACCCACACAGAAAACTCATATGAAGTCCCAGAACGCAGTTCCTCCACGGTGACACAGGTGTCTGTGGTCCTCTGGGTCTCAATTGTGTTGCTGTCTCCAGTCCACTGCACATAGTAGGTGAGGTTCTGGGAGTCTGACTCCTCGGGCCGCTCCCAGCACAGTCTGATGGACCTGTTGGTCTGACTTTCCACTCGCAGGCTGCTCACTGGGTTGGGGGCTGAGCACAGGGACAGAAGGAAAATCAGGTTCATTTTCCCAGTCCTCACATTTGCCTGCCCTCTACTCGTGGACTTGGAAGACTTGAGAAGCTCAGACCTGCACCGAAGAACAGGACAGCACAGGGCCCGAGGGACTCAGGAGCTCTGTGACAGGCTCCTGCCAGGTGCACAGTGAGGACGCGGGAGGTTGGCACAGTCAGTATAAAGCTGGGACCACAAATTTTATACACTGGAGTACTACTCAGCTATAAAGAATGATCACATTGAGATATTTATAAATAAATGGACTCAGATTAACAGAATACTCAAAAGTGAAATAAATCAAACTCACATGGAAAAATACACAAGAGTTTCCCTAGGGTAACAAATGCAAAGAATACATGAAATTATGTGGTAATCGTGATTCCCCATTACATTCCTTTCAAACCTTATAATGCTTTCATTTATTAGTTGGAATGATTTTATTCTGGGTTCTTTGATTTTGTTGTTTGTGATGATATCAACAGTTATTTTGAAGAAAACAAAACATTATAACGCCTAGTGCTGATTTACTATCGTCTTGTTTTGACATCCAACCAAGCTTCTGTGCTTCTGTCTTCCCTGGTTTTACCATGCTGTATCTTATTGGATTTTATTATATGTGATAGTATAAACAAAATTTTTTATAGACAAGGAAATAATACAGTAACCATTGTTGCTCTTTTGTTAGTTGGTTATGAATACCCTGTGATACTTTCATTCTCATGAGGGGTTTTCTACTGTCTTATTATGTTTGATACTATAGTATTTAAAGGTATATTGAAACATTTCAAGGAAACACACACTGTGGTGGCTACTGTTACGTCAGGTCATCTGGTGGTGACACACTATGTTCCTTAAATTGTTCTGTTGTATCCTGTGTTGTGATGTCCTCATTTATCTTAATCTTTTTTCAAATAAAATAAAACATAAAAAACAAGCTAGGACCACAAAGCCTCATTCATGCTTTCGCTTTCTATGTAAATTACAGGTTGAAACGGAACTGCTTCACATTGTCACACTCCATCATACATGCTGTGGTGATTCACTTTGGCTCATTTTCGTTTTCCACATTTTTGTGTGGCTCACAGAAAGCTGAAGTTTCTGTGTGTGTTTTTTGTGTATTTCTATTGAATCACCATACTTGCCACTTTCTCCTGACCTTTCTCAAGCACGCAGTACCAATCCATACAAAAGGAGAGCCCAACAGCCAAGTGTCTTGTTGTATCCCCAACCCCAGAATCTAGGAGGCTGGGAAAGGAGGATCTCAATTCAATTTGTGCTGGGGAAATTGAGCAAAACATTTCCTTAAAACAAGCAAACAAACACAAACACGATGCAGAGAAAAGATCGGTGTGAAGATTCATCAGTGAATCTCCAGTACCATGGAACTGAGGAGCTTAAAATACTGGCTGCCAGGTTTCAGCTAGATTTAGGGGAAAAGGACACAGTGGTAGGCAGCAGACAAAGACCCTCTCTGAGTCTCGCTGTGCACACACTGGAAGATACCTATGACAGGAAGAAATGAAACAGGGAAGTTGTCCCCTGGACCCAGGAAAGATCTGAAGCAAGATTTGAAGACCATGGTTTGAGGCAACAGAGAAACTTCAACAAAGAAGAAGCGAGTAGTGGGCTACCCTTTCTCCTAGTGTTGCATCTCATTGTGTGAAAAGAGCTGTACTAATTTAGAGACACACAGGGACTGTCGAGAACCCCAGAGGCCTCCACACAGACATGCAGCAATGGGAGGAAGCATTAGAGGCCAAGAAGTGCACTAGCTGCCGTGACTGCTTCTCCTGTGGGACTGGATGCCCCACGGGGGACAGTGATTGGCTGTGACCCGTCTTGGACAGGGGCCAAATGAGCTTCAAATGCAGAATAGCCCTTGGCCCCATTTAGCAGGTCAGCTCAGTTCAAGCATTTAGAAGACCCCTGATTTCTAAAGGGGCAGGCTTGCTGAGATTATCCACTACCTGGCCATGAATCCACTGCAGGGTTGCTGGGATAAGTCAGCACACTGCTGGACTTTGTCTCCACACATTATCTACCAGTGACAGCAGAGAGAAACCCGCAAGTGATTTTTTTCAATCTGTCTTCTCTTATTGCTTTGTTTTACTCTTAATGGTTTGATCTTATTTTTATGTGAATGTGAGTGTAGTTTTTAGTCTTTCTCTGGCTGTTGTTCTAGGGTTCTTTTGTTTGCTTGTTTGTTTTGGTACTGGGGACGAAACTTACAAGAGCAGCCTGAAAGTCCGGCAGTTATGGTGCTGAGCTAAGTCCCCAGCCTGTTTTTTGTTTTATTTCCTCCTTTTCTCTTTCCGTCCTATCTTCTGCACAAATCCCCCAAGGTATTGCATGATCTACCTTTACCCTCTAGCCTTGCTTCTAATCCTTTACTCTTCTTCAATTTCTATGCTTTTTCCAAAATAACATTTTAATTTTTCTCCTCTGAGAGTAAAATTTACATAAGGTAGTCTTTTGCTTATTGGCTACAGTTTTCCAATTTGGGTTAGATTTTGTTACTACAATTCTGCTTCTTAAAGCTAAAGGTGGCACATTAGTGATTACCTCAGTTTGCAGTTTTCTGTGTTTGTTTCATGCTACAGTTACTGCTAATTGTACCACTTCAGCCAAAGTGACATAACTGTTCCAACCAACTGTTCTTCCAGGTGTAAAGCAGGACTGAGGTTGCCTAAGGGCCATACAAAACACTGTGGGCCGGTAACAAAGAACCAAGTGCTCGACCAACCAGGCAGCAATTTCTTATCCCCAATAAACTGAAGTGTTGGATCTTGAAACACTCACAATCTAAGAGCCAGCTCCACCTGCATGATGTCCCTGACAAAGTCATTTTCTAAGGGTTCTAAATACAACCAATAAAACTGTACCCAATATGCAACTGAAAAACATCAACCTAGTAATTCAATTGAAAAACTAAGAAAATGAGGCACAAACCATTCAGGACCCCTCCTCCTGGCTCTCAGGAGCTCTTCCTATTCCAATTCTAATTCCCCAATACATTTTCTGACTCTTAAGAAAGAAGAAAACAGAACATGAGAAAATGCGTAAAGAAAATGCAATCCCAGTCATCCAGTGCACCAAAGACAAACCCAGGGGACAAAGAGGTGGGACGACCTGAAATCCAACCCCCCCCCACTCCCAGGCTCTCGGAAGTCATAAAACAAAGCAAATGAATGAAGTTCTAGAAAAAGTCAACTCAGAAATAAGTTCTCACATAACTACAGAGATGGTGACCATGGTGAAAAATATGCTGAGTAACTCTAGAGCAGATACAGACAAAACATAACATTTTTAGAAATGATGCAAATCAGGACTGCCCCAAATAGGAAAGAAACACAATCCATAAAATGAATTTGAGCCTACATCCAGGACAGTAAAACTTATACTGAAAGTATCTGTAGTAGAATATCCCAACATGAGGACAGAATCTCAGACACAAAAGACAGGCTTCATGTACTGATCATAAGAAAATCTTCATGTGGCACAGTACCATGAGATATCAATCCAGCAGATTCTAGGTCATGTAAACAATTGATTGGGAAGCCGGGCATACAGTTCAGTGGCAGAAGCAACCATCCGGCAAACCTGAGGTCATCAGTTCAATTCCCACCAACGAAAAAAAAAAAAGAATAAAAAAACTGATTGGAGAAACTGAAAAAGCAGGAGGTGCTATGCATGATACAAAAATCCATTCACAGACAGAAAGGCAAAACACTTCCCGGACGGGGAAATAACACTCGGAAACCCAGATAAGTAAGGGATATAAAACATGATCAAAAAAATCTACAACCAAGCACATCATAATCAAGATTCCAGAAATTCATCACAAGAACAGAATACTAAAACCCACCAGAGAAATAAATAAATCATCTATAAAGAATTGGCCATTCAGAAACACAGCTGACTGTTGGGAGCCACCACATTGCCGAGCCGCCTCATATAGCGATCATGCGGCCTGTGGTAAAGAGTAAAGCCTGAGTTAGATTACCCCTCCCATCGAGCACGTTAGTTTCCTGCTTACCGCGTAAACAACCCGCTCAATAATATGTTAGCCAATCAGCTTGCCTTGCTTACTTTAACATGATTGGACACTGTATCCGTATATATACTGGTGCCACCCCTGGGGGAAAGTAGAAGCCCAAAAGGAGCCGCGGAGAGCGGACCGGTAGAGGCTTCGGAGCGAAGCACGAAAGGAGCCGCGGGGAGCGGACCAGAGGAGGCTTCGGCTGGGAGCGATCCCAGGACAGGCTGTACAGAGAGAAAATAAAAAAAAAGGTTGTCCACTGCCAGACTTTGTCGTGTGTCCTTCCTGCCGGCCGGGAGCGACATCGACATTTGGTGGCCCGTACGGGGAACAACTGATCATCCCCGAGACGTGGTAGTGGACAACGTTCCTTGATACAGCACTGCGAGACAGGTGAGTAGGGGATAAACCTGGGCCCTGGGTGGTGCGCACCTACAGGGTTTTTAGACTCCCCTCAGGCTCACGCGTAAGTGGCGGATTTTTGGGCCTCACGCGGTGAGTAACATATTAAATATGGGTAACGTACCGAGTAACGACACCCAGCCCTTGGTACAGGTCCTCCGGAAGCTCTTAAAGTCCAGAGACCTCAAGGTGGGACACAAAACGCTGGAGAGCTTTTTTGAGGAGATTGATAGTTTCGCTCCCTGGTTCTTGCCCACAGGGCACTTAAACCTGCCCTCGTGGGAGAAGTTGGGCAGGGATCTTTCTCTAGCGGAAAGGGAGGGCGGGGCTTCGGTCTTCGCTCGGCCACTGTGGGAAATGATATATGCATGCTTAAAGAGCGAGGGTGGTTGCAGGGAAGGCTCTCAAGAGCTCATTAAAGTGCGTAGGGCATTCAAACAGGCCCAGTCAGGGAGCTCCCGGGAGGGGTCCGTCAAAGGAGACAAAGATATAAAGGAGGAAGACGGGGCTCAGGCCTCGGAGTCGTCTGACTCCGAGAACGAAAAAGGCTTAGACAACGATGAGACCAAGGAGCCTAGATGCCAAGAGGATAGGCCGCTCGATAAGGAGTCGCAGGGTTCTTTCCCAGCGTTGCGCCGCGAATTGCGCTCCGCTCAACTTGGTCTGCGGAGGAGTAGAGAGCTCCTGAGCGCCCCCTGGCGCGAGAGGGAGGCGAAGCCTTCCGCCCCACCTTGGGGGCTGTTCCCGGAAGCGATCCCTCGCCACGAGGCGGCCGCGTGGGAGCTCCCTCCCCTTTCGCCAAAACAGGAAGTGATGCACGGGCCCCCATTTTCCGCCCAATCACGGCCGCCGTCTTATGCTCCGCCGCCGGCGGGTCGGTATTTTTACAGGCGGCTTTGGCAGGGGGGACGTTTGTCTCATGAGGTACATCCACCACCTGGGATAGATAGTGGCCCCTACGGGATATTTCCTGTACAAGTAGCTATGGGCCAGGGACGTAATACATGAGAGCCTTTTGAGATAAAACAGATTAAAAAACTTAAAAATGCAGTTACAACCTTTGGGCCGACTGCGCCTTACACCATTGCCATGCTGGAGAACCTGTCTTCTGGGCCCCTCACCCCCGCGGACTGGATTCAGCTGGCAAAGGCGTGTCTGCCCTCGGGTAGTTACCTAGATTGGCGAGCCTGGTACACAAAGTTCTCTGCCGAGCAGGCTAAAAAAAACGCCGGTCGAGGAAATGGGGGCTGGGGATTTAGCTCAGCGGCATAAGCGCCTGCCTTGTAAGCAGGCAATCGCCAGTTCGATCCCTGGTACCAATAAAAAAAAAAAAAAAAAAAAAAAGATAAAAATAAAAAATAAAAAATAAAAAACAAAAAGGGGGAGTAAGCCAAGGCCTGCCTCCAAAGGCGCGGTTATCTATGGCATGACAATGGATGGGCCCGGATCCGGTAATCAGCTGGAACCGAGGCGCGGTTTGTGTTTTTCTGCAGGAATCGGGACGAGAACCACTGTGGGTACCGGAGAGACTGACACGGTCGACAAAGCCCTCGACTAAAGATCAGACCTGCCCTACCGGAGATCCATCACAGACCAACCAACAAGATAAATAAAAATAGCGGTAGCCCAAAATAGACAAAAAGATCCTCAGGCATATGCATGGCTCGCTCGCCTAGCCTACAACGGAGTCTAGGGACGGTGAGCTTCCCACACTCCTCCTCTAAAAAATTATGATATAGCAGGGTAGATGAGTCAATGACGGATAAGAGCATGCCTCCCCAGCATGACTCAACCTAAGACAGGCCCTACCCCATACCGCACAAAAGCCGCTAAATTACTAGGTTCCGCCCAAACCAAATGTCGCCCCGGGGGGATCATGCGGAGCGACATGAGTATATGCCTGTGTGCATCCAGGTTCCGTCCGGTTCCTTCCTGGCCCTGGAAAAAGGACGAGGGCCTCGGGGCCTCGGCAGACTCGGGGACGGCCGACCCGGGCCGACGCCGAGAGCCCTTGGTGGGCCTCCTATCAGGGCATAGGCCTCTACACTCAATTCAGGACGGGCTGCGATGCGTAGACTTATTTAAAATAAAAAAGGGGGAGATGTTGGGAGCCACCACATTGCCGAGCCGCCGCATATAGCGATCATGCGGCCTGTGGTAAAGAGTAAAGCCTGAGTTAGATTACCCCTCCCATCGAGCACGTTAGTTTCCTGCTTACCGCGTAAACAACCCGCTCAATAATATGTTAGCCAATCAGCTTACCTTGCTTACTTTAACATGATTGGACACTGTATCCGTATATATACTGGTGCCACCCCTGGGGGAAAGTAGAAGCCCAAAAGGAGCCGCAGAGAGCGGACCGGTAGAGGCTTCAGAGAGAAGCCCAAAAGGAGCCGCGGAGAGCGGACCGGTAGAGGCTTCGGAGCGAAGCACGAAAGGAGCCGCGGGGAGCGGACCAGAGGAGGCTTCGGCTGGGAGCGATCCCAGGACAGGCTGTACAGAGAGAAAATAAAAAAAAAGGTTGTCCACTGCCAGACTTTGTCGTGTGTCCTTCCTGCCGGCCGGGAGCGACATCGACAGCTGACTTCTCAACACAAGTCAAGATCCTGGAGAGAAGCATTTCAAGTCCCACAAGAAAACAACCTCCAACCCAGAGTGATGTACTCCACAAAACTATCTTTCAGAACTGATTGAGAAATAAGACCCTGCTATGTGAATGAACACCTGAGGAAATTCATGAGCACCAGTCCAGCACTCTAAAATATTCTGAAGGACACTCTAGGAAGAGATACCAAAGACGACAGTTCCATCAATCCCAGCACAATGAATCCACCAGGGAGGCAAACAGTGACATAGGACTTGAGAGAGACAAGGCAGTGAAAAAACAGGAAAATTACATGACAAGGATGAGTCAATACTATCACTTATAATCATCCAGGTGAATGCTCTCAATTCACCAATCAAAACAAACAGACTGGCAGAATGCATCAAGAAGCAAGATTCAACAACATGCTGCATGCAAGAAACACACTGACCTCTAAGGAAATTCACAGACTGAAAGTCAAGGCTGGAGAACAACCCTCTATGTGACAAGAACCTGGAAAAAGAAGGGTAGTTGCTCTACTTGCAGACAAAGTGGATTTCAAGCCAAGATTAAGTGACAAAGAAGGTTACTACAGCTGGGAAACGGAATAATCCAAAAGGGAGAGAGGGCAATCAAAAATACATATGCACCAAACACCAATGCATTCAGCTAAATGAGACCAATATTAAAGGACATGAAAAATCAATTAAGCACTAATACAGTTGTACTGGGGGACCTCAATACCCCACATTCCTAAACACACAAAACTAACAGAAAATCAACAATGAAATATTAGAATGGAACCCAACTTTGGAGCAAATGAGCTACGCAGATGTCTACACAGCGATCTCCTCTCAACCTTTACAATATGCATTGTTCTTAGCTGCAAATAGGATGCTCTAGAAAATAGACGACTTACCAGCGCATAGAACATGCTTATTCAAATTCAAAAGAATTGAAATTCTCCTGTGCATACATTATCAGACCACAGTGCGATGAAATTGGAAAGCGATGGCAAAAGAAATGAAAAGAATTTCATAAGTGCACAGAAATTAAATAGCATCCTCCTAAAATCCTTGCTGCCCTCACCTGTAGTAGCATTGAGAGTCTCCGTGGTGCTGTTGACTCCGTCTTTTTCCACCCACACAGAAAACTCATATGAAGTCCCAGAACGCAGTTCCTCCACGGTGACACAGGTGTCTGTGGTCCTCTGGGTCTCAATTGTGTTGCTGTCTCCAGTCCACTGCACATAGGAGGTGAGGTTCTGGGAGTCTGACTCCTCGGGCCGCTCCCAGCACAGTCTGATGGAACTGTTGGTCTGACTTTCCACTCGCAGGCTGCTCACTGGGTTGGGGGCTGAGCACAGGGACAGAAGGAAAATCAGGTTCATTTTCCCAGTCCTCACATTTGCCTGCCCTCTACTCGTGGACTTGGAAGACTTGAGAAGCTCAGACCTGCACCGAAGAACAGGACAGCACAGGGCCCGAGGGACTCAGGAGCTCTGTGACAGGCTCCTGCCAGGTGCACAGTGAGGACGCGAGAGGTGGCACAGTCAGTATAAAGCTGGGACCACAAATTTTATACACTGGAGTACTACTCAGCTATAAAGAATGATCACATTGAGATATTTATAAATAAATGGACTCAGATTAACAGAATACTCATAAGTGAAATAAATCAAACTCACATGGAAAAATACACAAGAGTTTCCCTAGGGTAACAAATGCAAAGAATACATGAAATTATATGGTAATCGTGATTCCCCATTACATTCCTTTCAAACCTTATAATGCTTTCATTTATTGGTTGGAATGATTTTATTCTGGGTTCTTTGATTTTGTTGTTTGTGATGATATCAACAGTTATTTTGAAGAAAACAAAACATTATAACGCCTAGTGCTGATTTACTATCGTCTTGTTTTGACATCCAACCAAGCTTCTGTGCTTCTGTCTTCCCTGGTTTTAATATTCTGTATCTTATTGGATTTTATTACATGTGATAGTATAAACAAAATTTTTTATAGACAAGGAAATAATACAGTAACCATTGTTGCTCTTTTGTTAGTTGGTTATGAATACCCTGTGATACTTTCATTCTCATGAGGGGTTTTCTACTGTCTTATTATGTTTGATACTATAGTATTTAAAGGTATATTGAAACATTTCAAGGAAACACACACTGTGGTGGCTACTGTTACGTCAGGTCATCTGGTGGTGACACACTATGTTCCTTAAATTGTTCTGTTCTGACCTGTGTTGTGATGTCCTCATTTATCTTAATCCTTTTTGAAATAAAATAAAACATAAAAAAACAAAGCCTTATTCATGCTTTCGCTTTCTATGTAAATTACAGGTTGAAACGGAACTGCTTCACATTGTCACACTCCATCATACATGCTGTGGTGATTCACTTTGGCTCATTTTCATTTACCACATTATTGTGTGGCTCACAGAAAGCTGAAGTTTCTGTGTGTGTTTTTTGTGTATTTCTATTGAATCACCATACTTGCCACTTTCTCCTGTCTGTTCTCAAGCACTCAGTACCAATCCATACAAAAGGAGGGCCCAACAGCCAAGTGTCCTGTTGTATCCCCAACCCCAGAATCTAGGAGGCTGGGAAAGGAGGATCTCAATTCAATTTGTGCTGGGGAAATTGAGCAAAACATTTCCTTAAAACAAGCAAACAAACACAAACACGATGCAGAGAAAAGATCGGTGTGAAGATTCATCAGTGAATCTCCAGTACCATGGAACTGAGGAGCTTAAAATACTGGCTGCCAGGTTTCAGCTAGATTTAGGGGAAAAGGACACAGTGGTAGGCAGCAGACAAAGACCCTCTCTGAGTCTCGCTGTGCACACACTGGAAGATACCTATGACAGGAAGAAATGAAACAGGGAAGTTGTCCCCTGGACCCAGGAAAGATCTGAAGCAAGATTTGAAGACCATGGTTTGAGGCAACAGAGAAACTTCAACAAAGAAGAAGCGAGTAGTGGGCTACCCTTTCTCCTAGTGTTGCATCTCATTGTGTGAAAAGAGCTGTACTAATTTAGAGACACACAGGGACTGTCGGGAACCCCAGAGGCCTCCACACAGACATGCAGCAATGGGAGGAAGCATTAGAGGCCAAGAAGTGCACTAGCTGCCGTGACTGCTTCTCCTGTGGGACTGGATGCCCCACGGGGGACAGTGATTGGCTGTGACCCGTCTTGGACAGGGGCCAAATGAGCTTCAAATGCAGAATAGCCCTTGGCCCCATTTAGCAGCTTCAGCTCAGTTCAAGCATTTTGAAGACCCCTGATTTCTAAAGGGGCAGGCTTGCTGAGATTATCCACTACCTGGCCATGAATCCACTGCAGGGTTGCTGGCATAAGTCAGCACACTGCTGGACTTTGTCTCCATACATTATCTACCAGTGACAGCAGAGAGAAACCCGCAAGTGATTTTTTTCAATCTGTCTTCTCTTCTTGCTTTGTTTTACTCTTAATGGTTTGATCTTATTTTTATGTGAATGTGAGTGTAGTTTTTAGTCTTTCTCTGGCTGTTGTTCTAGGGTTCTTTTCTTTGCTTGTTTGTTTTGGTACTGGGGACCAAACTTACAAGAGCAGCCTGAAAGTCCGGCAGTTATGGTGCTGAGCTAAGTCCCCGGCCTGTTTTTTTTTTTCTTTTCTTCCTTTTCTCTTTCCGTCCTATCTTCTGCACAAATCCCCCAAGGTATTGCATGATCTACCATTACCCTCCAGCCTTGCTTCTAATCTTTTACTCTTCTTCAATTTCTATGCTTTTTCCAAAATAACATTTTAATTTTTCTCCTCTGAGAGTAAAATTTACATAAGGTAGTCTTTTGCTTATTGGCTACAGTTTTCCAATTTGGGTTAGATTTTGTTACTACAATTCTGCTACTTAAAGCTAAAGGTGGCACATTAGTGATTACCTCAGTTTGCAGTTTTCTGTGCTTGTTTCATGCTACAGTTACTGCTAATTGTACCACTTCAGCCAAAGTGACATAACTGTTCCAACCAACTGTTCTTCCAGGTGTAAAGCAGGACTGAGGTTGCCTAAGGGCCATACAAAACACTGTGGGCCGGTAACAAAGAACCAAGTGCTGGACCAACCAGGCAGCAATTTCTTATCCCCAATAAATTGAAGTGTTGGATCTTGAAACACTCACAATCTAAGAGCCAGCTCCACCTGGATGATGTCCCTGACAAAGTCATTTTCTAAGGGTTCTAAATACAACCAATAAAACTGTACCCAATATGCAACTGAAAAACATCAGCCTAGTAATTCAATTGAAAAACTAAGAAAATGAGGCACAAACCATTCAGGACCCCTCCTCCTGGCTCTCAGGAGCTCTTCCTATTCCAATTCTAATTCCCCAATACATTTTCTGACTCTTAAGAAAGAAGAAAACAGAACATGAGAAAATGCGTAAAGAAAATGCAATCCCAGTCATCCAGTGCACCAAAGACAAACCCAGGGGACAAAGAGGGGGGACGACCTGAAATCCAACCCCCCCCACTCCCAGGCTCTCGGAAGTCATAAAACAAAGCAAATGAATGAAGTTCTAGAAAAAGTCAACTCAGAAATAAGTTCTCACATAACTACAGAGATGGTGACCATGGTGAAAAATATGCTGAGTAACTCTAGAGCAGATACAGACAAAACATAACATTTTTAGAAATGATGCAAATCAGGACTGCCCCAAATAGGAAAGAAACACAATCCATAAAATGAATTTGATCCTACATCCAGGACAGTAAAACTTATACTGAAAGTATCTGTAGTAGAATATCCCAACATGAGGACAGAATCTCAGACGCAAAAGACAGGCTTCATGTACTGATCATAAGAAAATCTTCATGTGGCACAGTACCATGAGATATCAATCCAGCAGATTCTAGGTCATGTAAACAATTGATTGGGAAGCCGGGCATACAGTTCAGTGGCAGAAGCAACCATCCGGCAAACCTGAGGTCATCAGTTCAATTCCCACCAACGAAAAAAAGAAAGAATAAAAAACTGATTGGAGAAACTGAAAAAGCAGGAGGTGCTATGCATGATACAAAAATCCATTCACAGACAGAAAGGCAAAACACTTCCCGGACGGGGAAATAACACTCGGACACCCAGATAAGTAAGGGATATAAAACATGATCAAAAAAGTCTACAACCAAGCACATCATAATCAAGATTCCAGAAATTCATCACAAGAACAGAATACTAAAACCCACCAGAGAAAATAAATAAATCATCTATAAAGAATTGGCCATTCAGAAACACAGCTGACTTCTCAACACAAGTCAAGATCTTGGAGAGAAGCATTTCAAGTCCCACAAGAAAACAACCTCCAACCCAGAGTGATGTACTCCACAAAACTATCTTTCAGAACTGATTGAGAAATAAGACCCTGCTATGTGAATGAACACCTGAGGAAATTCATGAGCACCAGTCCAGCACTCTAAAATATTCTGAAGGACACTCTAGGAAGAGATACCAAAGACGACAGTTCCATCAATCCCAGCACAATGAATCCACCAGGGAGGCAAACAGTGACATAGGACTTGAGAGAGACAAGGCAGTGAAAAAACAGGAAAATTACATGACAAGGATGAGTCAATACTATCACTTATAATCATCCAGGTGAATGCTCTCAATTCACCAATCAAAACAAACAGACTGGCAGAATGCATCAAGAAGCAAGATTCAACAACATGCTGCATGCAAGAAACACACTGACCTCTAAGGAAATTCACAGACTGAAAGTCAAGGCTGGAGAACAACCCTCTATGTGACAAGAACCTGGAAAAAGAAGGGTAGTTGCTCTACTTGCAGACAAAGTGGATTTCAAGCCAAGATTAAGTGACAAAGAAGGTTACTACAGCTGGGAAACGGAATAATCCAAAAGGGAGAGAGGGCAATCAAAAATACATATGCACCAAACACCAATGCATTCAGCTAAATGAGACCAATATTAAAGGACATGAAAAATCAATTAAGCACTAATACAGTTGTATTGGGGGACCTCAATACCCCACATTCCTAAACACACAAAACTAACAGAAAATCAACAATGAAATATTAGAATGGAACCCAAATTTGGAGCAAATGAGCTACGTAGATGTCTACACAGCGATCTCCTCTCAACCTTTACAATATGCATTGTTCTTAGCTGCAAATAGGATGCTCTAGAAAATAGACGACTTACCAGCGCATAGAACATGCTTATTCAAATTCAAAAGAATTGAAATTCTCCTGTGCATACATTATCAGACCACAGTGCGATGAAATTGGAAAGCGATGGCAAAAGAAATGAAAAGAATTTCGTAAGTGCACAGAAATTAAATAGCATCCTCCTAAAATCCTTGCTGCCCTCACCTGTAGTAGCATTGAGAGTCTCCCTGGTGCTGTTGACTCCGTCTTTTTCCACCCACACAGAAAACTCATATGAAGTCCCAGAACGCAGTTCCTCCACGGTGACACAGGTGTCTGTGGTCCTCTGGGTCTCAATTGTGTTGCTGTCTCCAGTCCACTGCACATAGGAGGTGAGGTTCTGGGAGTCTGACTCCTCGGGCCGCTCCCAGCACAGTCTGATGGAACTGTTGGTCTGACTTTCCACTCGCAGGCTGCTCACTGGGTTGGGGGCTGAGCACAGGGACAGAAGGAAAATCAGGTTCATTTTCCCAGTCCTCACATTTGCCTGCCCTCTACTCGTGGACTTGGAAGACTTGAGAAGCTCAGACCTGCACCGAAGAACAGGACAGCACAGGGCCCGAGGGACTCAGGAGCTCTGTGACAGGCTCCTGCCAGGTGCACAGTGAGGACGCGAGAGGTGGCACAGTCAGTATAAAGCTGGGACCACAAATTTTATACACTGGAGTACTACTCAGCTATAAAGAATGATCACATTGAGATATTTATAAATAAATGGACTCAGATTAACAGAATACTCATAAGTGACATAAATCAAACTCACATGGAAAAATACACAAGAGTTTCCCTAGGGTAACAAATGCAAAGAATACATGAAATTATATGGTAATCGTGATTCCCCATTACATTCCTTTCAAAACTTATAATGCTTTCATTTATTGGTTGGAATGATTTTATTCTGGATTGTTTGATTTTGTTGTTTGTGATGATATCAACAGTTATTTTGAAGAAAACAAAACATTATAACGCCTAGTGCTGATTTACTATCGTCTTGTTTTGACATCCAACCAAGCTTCTGTACTTCTGTCTTCCCTGGTTTTACCATGCTGTATCTTATTGGATTTTATTACATGTGATAGTATAAACAAAATTTTTTATAGACAAGGAAATAATACAGTAACCATTGTTGCTCTTTTGTTAGTTGGTTATGAATACCCTGTGATACTTTCATTCTCATGAGGGGTTTTCTACTGTCTTATTATGTTTGATACTATAGTATTTAAAGGTATATTGAAACATTTCAAGGAAACACACACTGTGGTGGCTACTGTTACGTCAGGTCATCTGGTGGTGACACACTGTGTTCCTTAAATTGTTCTGTTCTGACCTGTGTTGTGATGTCCTCATTTATCTTAATCTTTTTTCAAATAAAATAAAACATAAAAAAACAAAGCCTCATTCATGCTTTCGCTTTCTATGTAAATTACAGGTTGAAACGGAACTGCTTCACATTGTCACACTCCATCATACATGCTGTGGTGATTCACTTTGGCTCATTTTCGTTTTCCACATTTTTGTGTGGCTCACAGAAAGCTGAAGTTTCTGTGTGTGTTTTTTGTGTATTTCTATTGAATCACCATACTTGCCACTTTCTCCTGTCTGTTCTCAAGCACTCAGTACCAATCCATACAAAAGGAGGGCCCAACAGCCAAGTGTCCTGTTGTATCCCCAACCCCAGAATCTAGGAGGCTGGGAAAGGAGGATCTCAATTCAATTTGTGCTGGGGAAATTGAGCAAAACATTTCCTTAAAACAAGCAAACAAACACAAACACGATGCAGAGAAAAGATCGGTGTGAAGATTCATCAGTGAATCTCCAGTACCATGGAACTGAGGAGCTTAAAATACTGGCTGCCAGGTTTCAGCTAGATTTAGGGGAAAAGGACACAGTGGTAGGCAGCAGACAAAGACCCTCTCTGAGTCTCGCTGTGCACACACTGGAAGATACCTATGACAGGAAGAAATGAAACAGGGAAGTTGTCCCCTGGACCCAGGAAAGATCTGAAGCAAGATTTGAAGACCATGGTTTGAGGCAACAGAGAAACTTCAACAAAGAAGAAGCGAGTAGTGGGCTACCCTTTCTCCTAGTGTTGCATCTCATTGTGTGAAAAGAGCTGTACTAGTTTAGAGACACACAGGGACTGTCGGGAACCCCAGAGGCCTCCACACAGACATGCAGCAATGGGAGGAAGCATTAGAGGCCAAGAAGTGCACTAGCTGCCGTGACTGCTTCTCCTGTGGGACTGGATGCCCCACGGGGGACAGTGATTGGCTGTGACCCGTCTTGGACAGGGGCCAAATGAGCTTCAAATGCAGAACAGCCCTTGGCCCCATTTAGCAGCTTCAGCTCAGTTCAAGCATTTAGAAGACCCCTGATTTCTAAAGGGGCAGGCTTGCTGAGATTATCCACTACCTGGCCATGAATCCACTGCAGGGTTGCTGGGATAAGTCAGCACACTGCTGGACTTTGTCTCCACACATTATCTACCAGTGACAGCAGAGAGAAACCCGCAAGTGATTTTTTTCAATCTGTCTTCTCTTATTGCTTTGTTTTACTCTTAATGGTTTGATCTTATTTTTATGTGAATGTGAGTGTAGTTTTTAGTCTTTCTCTGGCTGTTGTTCTAGGGTTCTTTTCTTTGCTTGTTTGTTTTGGTACTGGGAACCAAACTTACAAGAGCAGCCTGAAAGTCCGGCAGTTATGGTGCTGAGCTAAGTCCCCGGCCTGTTTTTTTTTTTCTTTTCTTCCTTTTCTCTTTCCGTCCTATCTTCTGCACAAATCCCCCAAGGTATTGCATGATCTACCATTACCCTCCAGCCTTGCTTCTAATCTTTTACTCTTCTTCAATTTCTATGCTTTTTCCAAAATAACATTTTAATTTTTCTCCTCTGAGAGTAAAATTTACATAAGGTAGTCTTTTGCTTATTGGCTACAGTTTTCCAATTTGGGTTAGATTTTGTTACTACAATTCTGCTACTTAAAGCTAAAGGTGGCACATTAGTGATTACCTCAGTTTGCAGTTTTCTGTGCTTGTTTCATGCTACAGTTACTGCTAATTGTACCACTTCAGCCAAAGTGACATAACTGTTCCAACCAACTGTTCTTCCAGGTGTAAAGCAGGACTGAGGTTGCCTAAGGGCCATACAAAACACTGTGGGCCGGTAACAAAGAACCAAGTGCTGGACCAACCAGGCAGCAATTTCTTATCCCCAATAAATTGAAGTGTTGGATCTTGAAACACTCACAATCTAAGAGCCAGCTCCACCTGGATGATGTCCCTGACAAAGTCATTTTCTAAGGGTTCTACATACAACCAATAAAACTGTACCCAATATGCAACTGAAAAACATCAGCCTAGTAATTCAATTGAAAAACTAAGAAAATGAGGCACAAACCATTCAGGACCCCTCCTCCTGGCTCTCAGGAGCTCTTCCTATTCCAATTCTAATTCCCCAATACATTTTCTGACTCTTAAGAAAGAAGAAAACAGAACATGAGAAAATGCGTAAAGAAAATGCAATCCCAGTCATCCAGTGCACCAAAGACAAACCCAGGGGACAAAGAGGGGGGACGACCTGAAATCCAACCCCCCCCACTCCCAGGCTCTCGGAAGTCATAAAACAAAGCAAATGAATGAAGTTCTAGAAAAAGTCAACTCAGAAATAAGTTCTCACATAACTACAGAGATGGTGACCATGGTGAAAAATATGCTGAGTAACTCTAGAGCAGATACAGACAAAACATAACATTTTTAGAAATGATGCAAATCAGGACTGCCCCAAATAGGAAAGAAACACAATCCATAAAATGAATTTGATCCTACATCCAGGACAGTAAAACTTATACTGAAAGTATCTGTAGTAGAATATCCCAACATGAGGACAGAATCTCAGATACAAAAGACAGGCTTCATGTACTGATCATAAGAAAATCTTCATGTGGCACAGTACCATGAGATATCAATCCAGCAGATTCTAGGTCATGTAAACAATTGATTGGGAAGCCGGGCATACAGTTCAGTGGCAGAAGCAACCATCCGGCAAACCTGAGGTCATCAGTTCAATTCCCACCAACGAAAAAAAGAAAGAATAAAAAAACTGATTGGAGAAACTGAAAAAGCAGGAGGTGCTATCCATGATACAAAAATCCATTCACAGACAGAAAGGCAAAACACTTCCCGGACGGGGAAATAACACTCGGACACCCAGATAAGTAAGGGATATAAAACATGATCAAAAAAGTCTACAACCAAGCACATCATAATCAAGATTCCAGAAATTCATCACAAGAACAGAATACTAAAACCCACCAGAGAAAATAAATAAATCATCTATAAAGAATTGGCCATTCAGAAACACAGCTGACTTCTCAACACAAGTCAAGATCTTGGAGAGAAGCATTTCAAGTCCCACAAGAAAACAACCTCCAACCCAGAGTGATGTACTCCACAAAACTATCTTTCAGAACTGATTGAGAAATAAGACCCTGCTATGTGAATGAACACCTGAGGAAATTCATGAGCACCAGTCCGGCACTCTAAAATATTCTGAAGGACACTCTAGGAAGAGATACCAAAGACGACAGTTCCATCAATCCCAGCACAATGAATCCACCAGGGAGGCAAACAGTGACATAGGACTTGAGAGAGACAAGGCAGTGAAAAAACAGGAAAATTACATGACAAGGATGAGTCAATACTATCACTTATAATCATCCAGGTGAATGCTCTCAATTCACCAATCAAAACAAACAGACTGGCAGAATGCATCAAGAAGCAAGATTCAACAACATGCTGCATGCAAGAAACACACTGACCTCTAAGGAAATTCACAGACTGAAAGTCAAGGCTGGAGAACAACCCTCTATGTGACAAGAACCTGGAAAAAGAAGGGTAGTTGCTCTACTTGCAGACAAAGTGGATTTCAAGCCAAGATTAAGTGACAAAGAAGGTTACTACAGCTGGGAAACGGAATAATCCAAAAGGGAGAGAGGGCAATCAAAAATACATATGCACCAAACACCAATGCATTCAGCTAAATGAGACCAATATTAAAGGACATGAAAAATCAATTAAGCACTAATACAGTTGTATTGGGGGACCTCAATACCCCACATTCCTAAACACACAAAACTAACAGAAAATCAACAATGAAATATTAGAATGGAACCCAACTTTGGAGCAAATGAGCTACGCAGATGTCTACACAGCGATCTCCTCTCAACCTTTACAATATGCATTGTTCTTAGCTGCAAATAGGATGCTCTAGAAAATAGACGACTTACCAGCACATAGAACATGCTTATTCAAATTCAAAAAAATTGAAATTCTCCTGTGCATACATTATCAGACCACAGTGCGATGAAATTGGAAAGCGATGGCAAAAGAAATGAAAAGAATTTCGTAAGTGCACAGAAATTAAATAGCATCCTCCTAAAATCCTTGCTGCCCTCACCTGTAGTAGCATTGAGAGTCTCCCTGGTGCTGTTGACTCCGTCTTTTTCCACCCACACAGAAAACTCATATGAAGTCCCAGAACGCAGTTCCTCCACGGTGACACAGGTGTCTGTGGTCCTCTGGGTCTCAATTGTGTTGCTGTCTCCAGTCCACTGCACATAGTAGGTGAGGTTCTGGGAGTCTGACTCCTCGGGCCGCTCCCAGCACAGTCTGATGGAACTGTTGGTCTGACTTTCCACTCGCAGGCTGCTCACTGGGTTGGGGGCTGAGCACAGGGACAGAAGGAAAATCAGGTTCATTTTCCCAGTCCTCACATTTGCCTGCCCTCTACTCGTGGACTTGGAAGACTTGAGAAGCTCAGACCTGCACCGAAGAACAGGACAGCACAGGGCCCGAGGGACTCAGGAGCTCTGTGACAGGCTCCTGCCAGGTGCACAGTGAGGACGCGAGAGGTGGCACAGTCAGTATAAAGCTGGGACCACAAATTTTATACACTGGAGTACTACTCAGCTATAAAGAATGATCACATTGAGATATTTATAAATAAATGGACTCAGATTAACAGAATACTCATAAGTGAAATAAATCAAACTCACATGGAAAAATACACAAGAGTTTCCCTAGGGTAACAAATGCAAAGAATACATGAAATTATATGGTAATCGTGATTCCCCATTACATTCCTTTCAAAACTTATAATGCTTTCATTTATTGGTTGGAATGATTTTATTCTGGATTGTTTGATTTTGTTGTTTGTGATGATATCAACAGTTATTTTGAAGAAAACAAAACATTATAACGCCTAGTGCTGATTTACTATCGTCTTGTTTTGACATCCAACCAAGCTTCTGTACTTCTGTCTTCCCTGGTTTTACCATGCTGTATCTTATTGGATTTTATTACATGTGATAGCATAAACAAAATTTTTTATAGACAAGGAAATAATACAGTAACCATTGTTGCTCTTTTGTTAGTTGGTTATGAATACCCTGTGATACTTTCATTCTCATGAGGGGTTTTCTACTGTCTTATTATGTTTGATACTATAGTATTTAAAGGTATATTGAAACATTTCAAGGAAACACACACTGTGGTGGCTACTGTTACGTCAGGTCATCTGGTGGTGACACACTGTGTTCCTTAAATTGTTCTGTTCTGACCTGTGTTGTGATGTCCTCATTTATCTTAATCTTTTTTCAAATAAAATAAAACATAAAAAAACAAAGCCTCATTCATGCTTTCGCTTTCTATGTAAATTACAGGTTGAAACGGAACTGCTTCACATTGTCACACTCCATCATACATGCTGTGGTGATTCACTTTGGCTCATTTTCGTTTTCCACATTTTTGTGTGGCTCACAGAAAGCTGAAGTTTCTGTGTGTGTTTTTTGTGTATTTCTATTGAATCACCATACTTGCCACTTTCTCCTGTCTGTTCTCAAGCACTCAGTACCAATCCATACAAAAGGAGGGCCCAACAGCCAAGTGTCCTGTTGTATCCCCAACCCCAGAATCTAGGAGGCTGGGAAAGGAGGATCTCAATTCAATTTGTGCTGGGGAAATTGAGCAAAACATTTCCTTAAAACAAGCAAACAAACACAAACACGATGCAGAGAAAAGATCGGTGTGAAGATTCATCAGTGAATCTCCAGTACCATGGAACTGAGGAGCTTAAAATACTGGCTGCCAGGTTTCAGCTAGATTTAGGGGAAAAGGACACAGTGGTAGGCAGCAGACAAAGACCCTCTCTGAGTCTCGCTGTGCACACACTGGAAGATACCTATGACAGGAAGAAATGAAACAGGGAAGTTGTCCCCTGGACCCAGGAAAGATCTGAAGCAAGATTTGAAGACCATGGTTTGAGGCAACAGAGAAACTTCAACAAAGAAGAAGCGAGTAGTGGGCTACCCTTTCTCCTAGTGTTGCATCTCATTGTGTGAAAAGAGCTGTACTAGTTTAGAGACACACAGGGACTGTCGGGAACCCCAGAGGCCTCCACACAGATATGCAGCAATGGGAGGAAGCATTAGAGGCCAAGAAGTGCACTAGCTGCCGTGACTGCTTCTCCTGTGGGACTGGATGCCCCACGGGGGACAGTGATTGGCTGTGACCCGTCTTGGACAGGGGCCAAATGAGCTTCAAATGCAGAACAGCCCTTGGCCCCATTTAGCAGCTTCAGCTCAGTTCAAGCATTTAGAAGACCCCTGATTTCTAAAGGGGCAGGCTTGCTGAGATTATCCACTACCTGGCCATGAATCCACTGCAGGGTTGCTGGGATAAGTCAGCACACTGCTGGACTTTGTCTCCACACATTATCTACCAGTGACAGCAGAGAGAAACCCGCAAGTGATTTTTTTCAATCTGTCTTCTCTTATTGCTTTGTTTTACTCTTAATGGTTTGATCTTATTTTTATGTGAATGTGAGTGTAGTTTTTAGTCTTTCTCTGGCTGTTGTTCTAGGGTTCTTTTCTTTGCTTGTTTGTTTTGGTACTGGGAACCAAACTTACAAGAGCAGCCTGAAAGTCCGGCAGTTATGGTGCTGAGCTAAGTCCCCGGCCTGTTTTTTTTTTTTTTTCTTTTCTTCCTTTTCTCTTTCCTTCCTATCTCCTGCACAAATCCCCCAACGTATTGCATGATCTACCTTTACCCTCCAGCCTTGCTTCTAATCTTTTACTCTTCTTCAATTTCTATGCTTTTTCCAAAATAACATTTTAATTTTTCTCCTCTGAGAGTAAAATTTACATAAGGTAGGCTTTTGCTTATTGGATACAGTTTTCCAATTTGGGTTAGATTTTGTTACTACAATTCTGCTTCTTAAAGCTAAAGGTGGCACATTAGTGATTACCTCAGTTTTCAGTTTTCTGTGCTTGTTTCATGCTACAGTTACTGCTAATTGTACCACTTCAGCCAAAGTGACATAACTGTTCCAACCAACTGTTCTTCCAGGTGTAAAGCAGGACTGAGGTTGCCTAAGGGCCATACAAAACACTGTGGGCCGGTAACAAAGAACCAAGTGCTGGACCAACCAGGCAGCAATTTCTTATCCCCAATAAATTGAAGTGTTGGATCTTGAAACACTCACAATCTAAGAGCCAGCTCCACCTGCATGATGTCCCTGACAAAGTCATTTTCTAAGGGTTCTAAATACAACCAATAAAACTGTACCCAATATGCAACTGAAAAACATCAGCCTAGTAATTCAATTGAAAAACTAAGAAAATGAGGCACAAACCATTCAGGACCCCTCCTCCTGGCTCTCAGGAGCTCTTCCTATTCCAATTCTAATTCCCCAATACATTTTCTGACTCTTAAGAAAGAAGAAAACAGAACATGAGAAAATGCGTAAAGAAAATGCAATCCCAGTCATCCAGTGCACCAAAGACAAACCCAGGGGACAAAGAGGGGGGACGACCTGAAATCCAACCCCCCCCACTCCCAGGCTCTCGGAAGTCATAAAACAAAGCAAATGAATGAAGTTCTAGAAAAAGTCAACTCAGAAATAAGTTCTCACATAACTACAGAGATGGTGACCATGGTGAAAAATATGCTGAGTAACTCTAGAGCAGATACAGACAAAACATAACATTTTTAGAAATGATGCAAATCAGGACTGCCCCAAATAGGAAAGAAACACAATCCATAAAATGAATTTGATCCTACATCCAGGACAGTAAAACTTATACTGAAAGTATCTGTAGTAGAATATCCCAACATGAGGACAGAATCTCAGATACAAAAGACAGGCTTCATGTACTGATCATAAGAAAATCTTCATGTGGCACAGTACCATGAGATATCAATCCAGCAGATTCTAGGTCATGTAAACAATTGATTGGGAAGCCGGGCATACAGTTCAGTGGCAGAAGCAACCATCCGGCAAACCTGAGGTCATCAGTTCAATTCCCACCAACGAAAAAAAGAAAGAATAAAAAAACTGATTGGAGAAACTGAAAAAGCAGGAGGTGCTATCCATGATACAAAAATCCATTCACAGACAGAAAGGCAAAACACTTCCCAGACGGGGAAATAACACTCGGACACCCAGATAAGTAAGGGATATAAAACATGATCAAAAAAGTCTACAACCAAGCACATCATAATCAAGATTCCAGAAATTCATCACAAGAACAGAATACTAAAACCCACCAGAGAAAATAAATAAATCATCTATAAAGAATTGGCCATTCAGAAACACAGCTGACTTCTCAACACAAGTCAAGATCTTGGAGAGAAGCATTTCAAGTCCCACAAGAAAACAACCTCCAACCCAGAGTGATGTACTCCACAAAACTATCTTTCAGAACTGATTGAGAAATAAGACCCTGCTATGTGAATGAACACCTGAGGAAATTCATGAGCACCAGTCCGGCACTCTAAAATATTCTGAAGGACACTCTAGGAAGAGATACCAAAGACGACAGTTCCATCAATCCCAGCACAATGAATCCACCAGGGAGGCAAACAGTGACATAGGACTTGAGAGAGACAAGGCAGTGAAAAAACAGGAAAATTACATGACAAGGATGAGTCAATACTATCACTTATAATCATCCAGGTGAATGCTCTCAATTCACCAATCAAAACAAACAGACTGGCAGAATGCATCAAGAAGCAAGATTCAACAACATGCTGCATGCAAGAAACACACTGACCTCTAAGGAAATTCACAGACTGAAAGTCAAGGCTGGAGAACAACCCTCTATGTGACAAGAACCTGGAAAAAGAAGGGTAGTTGCTCTACTTGCAGACAAAGTGGATTTCAAGCCAAGATTAAGTGACAAAGAAGGTTACTACAGCTGGGAAACGGAATAATCCAAAAGGGAGAGAGGGCAATCAAAAATACATATGCACCAAACACCAATGCATTCAGCTAAATGAGACCAATATTAAAGGACATGAAAAATCAATTAAGCACTAATACAGTTGTATTGGGGGACCTCAATACCCCACATTCCTAAACACACAAAACTAACAGAAAATCAACAATGAAATATTAGAATGGAACCCAACTTTGGAGCAAATGAGCTACGCAGATGTCTACACAGCGATCTCCTCTCAACCTTTACAATATGCATTGTTCTTAGCTGCAAATAGGATGCTCTAGAAAATAGACGACTTACCAGCACATAGAACATGCTTATTCAAATTCAAAAAAATTGAAATTCTCCTGTGCATACATTATCAGACCACAGTGCGATGAAATTGGAAAGCGATGGCAAAAGAAATGAAAAGAATTTCGTAAGTGCACAGAAATTAAATAGCATCCTCCTAAAATCCTTGCTGCCCTCACCTGTAGTAGCATTGAGAGTCTCCCTGGTGCTGTTGACTCCGTCTTTTTCCACCCACACAGAAAACTCATATGAAGTCCCAGAACGCAGTTCCTCCACGGTGACACAGGTGTCTGTGGTCCTCTGGGTCTCAATTGTGTTGCTGTCTCCAGTCCACTGCACATAGTAGGTGAGGTTCTGGGAGTCTGACTCCTCGGGCCGCTCCCAGCACAGTCTGATGGAACTGTTGGTCTGACTTTCCACTCGCAGGCTGCTCACTGGGTTGGGGGCTGAGCACAGGGACAGAAGGAAAATCAGGTTCATTTTCCCAGTCCTCACATTTGCCTGCCCTCTACTCGTGGACTTGGAAGACTTGAGAAGCTCAGACCTGCACCGAAGAACAGGACAGCACAGGGCCCGAGGGACTCAGGAGCTCTGTGACAGGCTCCTGCCAGGTGCACAGTGAGGACGCGAGAGGTGGCACAGTCAGTATAAAGCTGGGACCACAAATTTTATACACTGGAGTACTACTCAGCTATAAAGAATGATCACATTGAGATATTTATAAATAAATGGACTCAGATTAACAGAATACTCATAAGTGAAATAAATCAAACTCACATGGAAAAATACACAAGAGTTTCCCTAGGGTAACAAATGCAAAGAATACATGAAATTATATGGTAATCGTGATTCCCCATTACATTCCTTTCAAAACTTATAATGCTTTCATTTATTGGTTGGAATGATTTTATTCTGGATTGTTTGATTTTGTTGTTTGTGATGATATCAACAGTTATTTTGAAGAAAACAAAACATTATAACGCCTAGTGCTGATTTACTATCGTCTTGTTTTGACATCCAACCAAGCTTCTGTACTTCTGTCTTCCCTGGTTTTACCATGCTGTATCTTATTGGATTTTATTACATGTGATAGTATAAACAAAATTTTTTATAGACAAGGAAATAATACAGTAACCATTGTTGCTCTTTTGTTAGTTGGTTATGAATACCCTGTGATACTTTCATTCTCATGAGGGGTTTTCTACTGTCTTATTATGTTTGATACTATAGTATTTAAAGGTATATTGAAACATTTCAAGGAAACACACACTGTGGTGGCTACTGTTACGTCAGGTCATCTGGTGGTGACACACTATGTTCCTTAAATTGTTCTGTTCTGACCTGTGTTGTGATGTCCTCATTTATCTTAATCTTTTTTCAAATAAAATAAAACATAAAAAACAAGCTAGGACCACAAAGCCTCATTCATGCTTTCGCTTTCTATGTAAATTACAGGTTGAAACGGAACTGCTTCACATTGTCACACTCCATCATACATGCTGTGGTGATTCACTTTGGCTCATTTTCGTTTTCCACATTTTTGTGTGGCTCACAGAAAGCTGAAGTTTCTGTGTGTGTTTTTTGTGTATTTCTATTGAATCACCATACTTGCCACTTTCTCCTGTCTGTTCTCAAGCACTCAGTACCAATCCATACAAAAGGAGGGCCCAACAGCCAAGTGTCCTGTTGTATCCCCAACCCCAGAATCTAGGAGGCTGGGAAAGGAGGATCTCAATTCAATTTGTGCTGGGGAAATTGAGCAAAACATTTCCTTAAAACAAGCAAACAAACACAAACACGATGCAGAGAAAAGATCGGTGTGAAGATTCATCAGTGAATCTCCAGTACCATGGAACTGAGGAGCTTAAAATACTGGCTGCCAGGTTTCAGCTAGATTTAGGGGAAAAGGACACAGTGGTAGGCAGCAGACAAAGACCCTCTCTGAGTCTCGCTGTGCACACACTGGAAGATACCTATGACAGGAAGAAATGAAACAGGGAAGTTGTCCCCTGGACCCAGGAAAGATCTGAAGCAAGATTTGAAGACCATGGTTTGAGGCAACAGAGAAACTTCAACAAAGAAGAAGCGAGTAGTGGGCTACCCTTTCTCCTAGTGTTGCATCTCATTGTGTGAAAAGAGCTGTACTAGTTTAGAGACACACAGGGACTGTCGGGAACCCCAGAGGCCTCCACACAGATATGCAGCAATGGGAGGAAGCATTAGAGGCCAAGAAGTGCACTAGCTGCCGTGACTGCTTCTCCTGTGGGACTGGATGCCCCACGGGGGACAGTGATTGGCTGTGACCCGTCTTGGACAGGGGCCAAATGAGCTTCAAATGCAGAACAGCCCTTGGCCCCATTTAGCAGCTTCAGCTCAGTTCAAGCATTTAGAAGACCCCTGATTTCTAAAGGGGCAGGCTTGCTGAGATTATCCACTACCTGGCCATGAATCCACTGCAGGGTTGCTGGGATAAGTCAGCACACTGCTGGACTTTGTCTCCACACATTATCTACCAGTGACAGCAGAGAGAAACCCGCAAGTGATTTTTTTCAATCTGTCTTCTCTTATTGCTTTGTTTTACTCTTAATGGTTTGATCTTATTTTTATGTGAATGTGAGTGTAGTTTTTAGTCTTTCTCTGGCTGTTGTTCTAGGGTTCTTTTCTTTGCTTGTTTGTTTTGGTACTGGGAACCAAACTTACAAGAGCAGCCTGAAAGTCCGGCAGTTATGGTGCTGAGCTAAGTCCCCGGCCTGTTTTTTTTTTTTTTCTTTTCTTTCTTTTCTCTTTCCGTCCTATCTTCTGCACAAATCCCCCAAGGTATTGCATGATCTACCTTTACCCTCCAGCCTTGCTTCTAATCTTTTACTCTTCTTCAATTTCTATGCTTTTTCCAAAATAACATTTTAATTTTTCTCCTCTGAGAGTAAAATTTACATAAGGTAGGCTTTTGCTTATTGGATACAGTTTTCCAATTTGGGTTAGATTTTGTTACTACAATTCTGCTTCTTAAAGCTAAAGGTGGCACATTAGTGATTACCTCAGTTTGCAGTTTTCTGTGCTTGTTTCATGCTACAGTTACTGCTAATTGTACCACTTCAGCCAAAGTGACATAACTGTTCCAACCAACTGTTCTTCCAGGTGTAAAGCAGGACTGAGGTTGCCTAAGGGCCATACAAAACACTGTGGGCCGGTAACAAAGAACCAAGTGCTGGACCAACCAGGCAGCAATTTCTTATCCCCAATAAATTGAAGTGTTGGATCTTGAAACACTCACAATCTAAGAGCCAGCTCCACCTGGATGATGTCCCTGACAAAGTCATTTTCTAAGGGTTCTACATACAACCAATAAAACTGTACCCAATATGCAATTGAAAAACTTCAACCTAGTAATTCAATTGAAAAACTAAGAAAATGAGGCACAAACCATTCAGGACCCCTCCTCCTGGCTCTCAGGAGCTCTTCCTATTCCAATTCTAATTCCCCAATACATTTTCTGACTCTTAAGAAAGAAGAAAACAGAACATGAGAAAATGCGTAAAGAAAATGCAATCCCAGTCATCCAGTGCACCAAAGACAAACCCAGGGGACAAAGAGGGGGGATGACCTGAAATCCAACCCCCCCCCACTCCCAGGCTCTCGGAAGTCATAAAACAAAGCAAATGAATGAAGTTCTAGAAAAAGTCAACTCAGAAATAAGTTCTCACATAACTACAGAGATGGTGACCATGGTGAAAAATATGCTGAGTAACTCTAGAGCAGATACAGACAAAACATAACATTTTTAGAAATGATGCAAATCAGGACTGCCCCAAATAGGAAAGAAACACAATCCATAAAATGAATTTGAGCCTACATCCAGGACAGTAAAACTTATACTGAAAGTATCTGTAGTAGAATATCCCAACATGAGGACAGAATCTCAGATACAAAAGACAGGCTTCATGTACTGATCATAAGAAAATCTTCATGTGGCACAGTACCATGAGATATCAATCCAGCAGATTCTAGGTCATGTAAACAATTGATTGGGAAGCCAGGCATACAGTTCAGTGGCAGAAGCAACCATCCGGCAAACCTGAGGTCATCAGTTCAATTCCCACCAACGAAAAAAAGAAAGAATAAAAAAACTGATTGGAGAAACTGAAAAAGCAGGAGGTGCTATGCATGATACAAAAATCCATTCACAGACAGAAAGGCAAAACACTTCCCGGACGGGGAAATAACACTCGGACACCCAGATAAGTAAGGGATATAAAACATGATCAAAAAATTCTACAACCAAGCACATCATAATCAAGATTCCAGAAATTCATCACAAGAACAGAATACTAAAACCAACCAGAGAAAATAAATAAATCATCTATAAAGAATTGGCCATTCAGAAACACAGCTGACTTCTCAACACAAGTCAAGATCTTGGAGAGAAGCATTTCAAGTCCCACAAGAAAACAACCTCCAACCCAGAGTGATGTACTCCACAAAACTATCTTTCAGAACTGATTGAGAAATAAGGCCCTGCTATGTGAATGAACACCTGAGGAAATTCATGAGCACCAGTCCGGCACTCTAAAATATTCTGAAGGACCCTCTAGGAAGAGATACCAAAGACGACAGTTCCATCAATCCCAGCACAATGAATCCACCAGGGAGGCAAACAGTGACATAGGACTTGAGAGAGACAAGGCAGTGAAAAAACAGGAAAATTACATGACAAGGATGAGTCCATACTATCACTTATAATCATCCAGGTGAATGCTCTCAATTCACCAATCAAAACAAACAGACTGGCAGAATGCATCAAGAAGCAAGATTCAACAACATGCTGCATGCAAGAAACACACTGACCTCTAAGGAAATTCACAGACTGAAAGTCAAGGCTGGAGAACAACCCTCTATGTGACAAGAACCTGAAAAAAGAAGGGTAGTTGCTCTACTTGCAGACAAAGTGGATTTCAAGCCAAGATTAAGTGACAAAGAAGGTTACTACAGCTGGGAAACGGAATAATCCAAAAGGGAGAGAGGGCAATCAAAAATACATATGCACCAAACACCAATGCATTCAGCTAAATGAGACCAATATTAAAGGACATGAAAAATCAATTAAGCACTAATACAGTTGTATTGGGGGACCTCAATACCCCACATTCCTAAACACACAAAACTAACAGAAAATCAACAATGAAATATTAGAATGGAACCCAACTTTGGAGCAAATGAGCTACGTAGATGTCTACACAGCGATCTCCTCTCAACCTTTACAATATGCATTGTTCTTAGCTGCAAATAGGATGCTCTAGAAAATAGACGACTTACCAGCACATAGAACATGCTTATTCAAATTCAAAAAAATTGAAATTCTCCTGTGCATACATTATCAGACCACAGTGCGATGAAATTGGAAAGCGATGGCAAAAGAAATGAAAAGAATTTCGTAAGTGCACAGAAATTAAATAGCATCCTCCTAAAATCCTTGCTGCCCTCACCTGTAGTAGCATTGAGAGTCTCCCTGGTGCTGTTGACTCCGTCTTTTTCCACCCACACAGAAAACTCATATGAAGTCCCAGAACGCAGTTCCTCCACGGTGACACAGGTGTCTGTGGTCCTCTGGGTCTCAATTGTGTTGCTGTCTCCAGTCCACTGCACATAGTAGGTGAGGTTCTGGGAGTCTGACTCCTCGGGCCGCTCCCAGCACAATCTGATGGAACTGTTGGTCTGACTTTCCACTCGCAGGCTGCTCACTGGGTTGGGGGCTGAGCACAGGGACAGAAGGAAAATCAGGTTCATTTTCCCAGTCCTCACCTTTGCCTGCCCTCTACTCGTGGACTTGGAAGACTTGAGAAGCTCAGACCTGCACCGAAGAACAGGACAGCACAGGGCCCGAGGGACTCAGGAGCTCTGTGACAGGCTCCTGCCAGGTGCACAGTGAGGACGCGAGAGGTGGCACAGTCAGTATAAAGCTGGGACCACAAATTTTATACACTGGAGTACTACTCAGCTATAAAGAATGATCACATTGAGATATTTATAAATAAATGGACTCAGATTAACAGAATACTCATAAGTGAAATAAATCAAACTCACATGGAAAAATACACAAGAGTTTCCCTAGGGTAACAAATGCAAAGAATACATGAAATTATATGGTAATCGTGATTCCCCATTACATTCCTTTCAAACCTTATAATGCTTTCATTTATTGGTTGGAATGATTTTATTCTGGGTTGTTTGATTTTGTTGTTTGTGATGATATCAACAGTTATTTTGAAGAAAACAAAACATTATAACGCCTAGTGCTGATTTACTATCGTCTTGTTTTGACATCCAACCAAGCTTCTGTACTTCTGTCTTCCCTGGTTTTACCATGCTGTATCTTATTGGATTTTATTATATGTGATAGTATAAACAAAATTTTTTATAGACAAGGAAATAATACAATAACCATTGTTGCTCTTTTGTTAGTTGGTTATGAATACCCTGTGATACTTTCATTCTCATGAGGGGTTTTCTACTGTCTTATTATGTTTGATACTATAGTATTTAAAGGTATATTGAAACATTTCAAGGAAACACACACTGTGGTGGCTACTGTTACGTCAGGTCATCTGGTGGTGACACACTATGTTCCTTAAATTGTTCTGTTCTGACCTGTGTTGTGATGTCCTCATTTATCTTAATCTTTTTTCAAATAAAATAAAACATAAAAAAACAAAGCCTCATTCATGCTTTCGCTTTCTATGTAAATTACAGGTTGAAACGGAACTGCTTCACATTGTCACACTCCATCATACATGCTGTGGTGATTCACTTTGGCTCATTTTCGTTTTCCACATTTTTGTGTGGCTCACAGAAAGCTGAAGTTTCTGTGTGTGTTTTTTGTGTATTTCTATTGAATCACCATACTTGCCACTTTCTCCTGTCTGTTCTCAAGCACTCAGTACCAATCCATACAAAAGGAGGGCCCAACAGCCAAGTGTCCTGTTGTATCCCCAACCCCAGAATCTAGGAGGCTGGGAAAGGAGGATCTCAATTCAATTTGTGCTGGGGAAATTGAGCAAAACATTTCCTTAAAACAAGCAAACAAACACAAACACGATGCAGAGAAAAGATCGGTGTGAAGATTCATCAGTGAATCTCCAGTACCATGGAACTGAGGAGATTAAAGTACTGGCTGCCAGGTTTCAGCTAGATTTAGGGGAAAAGGACACAGTGGTAGGCAGCAGACAAAGACCCTCTCTGAGTCTCGCTGTGCACACACTGGAAGATACCTATGACAGGAAGAAATGAAACAGGGAAGTTGTCCCCTGGACCCAGGAAAGATCTGAAGCAAGATTGAAGACCATGGTTTGAGGCAACAGAGAAACTTCAACAAAGAAGAAGCGAGTAGTGGGCTACCCTTTCTCCTAGTGTTGCGTCTCATTGTGTGAAAAGAGCTGTACTAATACACAGATACACAGGGACTGTTGGGAACCCCAGAGGCCTCCACACAGACATGCAGCAATGGGAGGAAGCATTAGAGGCCAAGAACTGCACTAGCTGCCGTGACTGCTTCTCCTGTGGGCCTGGATGCCCCACGGGGGACAGTGATTGGCTGTGACCCGTCTTGGACAGGGGCCAAATGAGCTTCAAATGCAGAACAGCCCTTGGCCCCATTTAGCAGCTTCAGCTCAGTCAAGCATTTAGAAGACCCCTGATTTCTAAAGGTGCAGGCTTGCTGAGATTATCCACTACCTGGCCATGAATCCACTGCAGGGTTGCTGGGATAAGTCAGTACACTGCTGGACTTTGTCTCCACACATTATCTACCAGTGACAGCAGAGAGAAACCCTCAAGTGATTTTTTTCAATCTGTCTTCTCTTATTGCTTTGTTTTTCTCTTAATGGTTTGATCTTATTTTTATGTGAATGTGAGTGTAGTTTGTAGTCTTTTTCTGGCTGTTTTTCTAGGGTTCTTTTGTTTGCTTGTTTGTTTTGGTACTGGGAACCAAACTTACAAGAGCAGCCTGAAAGTCCGGCAGTTATGGTGCTGAGCTAAGTCCCCAGCCTGTTTTTTTTTTTTTTTCTTTTCTTCCTTTTCTCTTTCCGTCCTATCTTCTGCACAAATCCCCCAAGGTATTGCATGATCTACCTTTACCCTCCAGCCTTGCTTCTAATCCTTTACTCTTCTTCAATTTCTATGCTTTTTCCAAAATAACATTTTAATTTTTCTCCTCTGAGAGTAAAATTTACATAAGGTAGGCTTTTGCTTATTGGATACAGTTTTCCAATTTGGGTTAGATTTTGTTACTACAATTCTGCTTCTTAAAGCTAAAGGTGGCAGATCTGGGGTGCCCTCACTGGCCTCTCTGCGTGTCTGGAGGACTCTGGATATCTGCGCCCAGACTGCTGGAGTTCCCTCAGGCTTCCAGGTGCAGTGAAGGAGAGAGGTGGGTTTGAGGTTTCCACATCAGGCTTCCCATTCCGGCTTCATTTGGAGACCTGCTGAGCTCCCGATAGGTGGGCTGGCCCACACTACCAGCCTAGCCCAGCCTGTTTAGCTGCCGCGCCTGGCCATTGGTCTGCAGAGGAGGAGCTGGGCAGATTTGGGGTGCCTGCATCGGCCTCTCCATGTGTCTGGAGGACTGTGGATATCTCTGCAACCAGGGAGGGTCCACAGGTTCCTGAAGCACTGCGGCCTGTGGTGAGTACCCTAACCCGGCTGCGATTGAAGAACTGTGGAGCTTCCAAGGGGCAGGTGGGCGCACAGTGTCCCTGAGGCCCAGCTTGTCTGGAACTGTGGAGTTCTGAGCAGGCAGAGGAGGGCCACTGGTTCTGTAGGCCTAATGGCTTGGGGTAGCGCGGCGCCAGAGTCTCAGTAGCTCCAAACATAGAAGGGGATTCTCAACAGATCCTGAGGAAGCTTTCAAATAACACTTGAAACACAGAAATATAGGAAAATGACAAAACGAAAGACCAAATTACAACCTCAAACCTCCAGCCCATCTCAAGAAACCCTAGGAGCGATGTATATAGAAGAAAATATATCCCATCCACCTCATATATCAGACACAATAGCCACTGAAATTGACAAGCAACTCCGGGAAGCTTTAAAGAAATTCAAACTCGAAATAATCTCCCAGATAAAAGAAGAAATGATAAAAGAAATGAAAGAGATTCTAAGTATATCTAAAGAAAACACAGATAAAAAATTGGAGGAACTAAACAAAAAGATAGAATCCCTAGACGAGCAATATAAGAAACAAACAGAATACATAATGCAGATGCACAGAGATATACAGGAAATAAAAAACTCCACTGAAAGTTGTAAAAACCGCCTTAATGAAAGTGAAGATAGAATTTCAGACCTTGAAGACAGGATTGCAGCTAGTGAACAGGAAAGGAAAGATCTTTTGAAAATAACAAGGAACCAGGAAACAACAATTCAACAACTGCAAGACGATGCAAAGAAGAATAACATAAGAATGATAGGGATTAATGAAAGAGAGGGAGACAACATGAAGGATGTCAGGAGGATATTTAGAGAAGTAATAGCTGAAAATTTCCCAAGCATGAGATCAGAAACTGACATCAGGATCAGTGAAGCACATAGAACTCCAAACAGTCATAACCAAAATAAAACTACACCCAGACATATAATAATCACCATCCCAGAAATCCAACACAAGAATAGATTATTAAAAGCTGTCAGAGAGAAAAGACAAATCATTATAAAGGAAAACCTATCAGAATCACAGCAGACTTCTCAGCACAAATGATAAAGTCAAGAAGAGCATGGAGTGAAGTATTCCAGATCCTAAAGCAAAATGATTTCCAACCTAGACTGATATATCCTGCAAAACTATCATTCAAAATAGATGGTGCAATACGATACTTCCATGACAAAGAACAGCTGAAGAACTTCATGAACACCAAACCAACCCTGCAAAAAATATTGAAAGACAGTTTAGATACACAAAGGAAAAAACCACTAAGCAAACAAATAATTAAACAGAACCGAAAGATAAAGATGCAACAGCAGAGAGATAACATTCCTACAATTAACCAGCATTTAACAGTAGTAACCATTAATGTAAATGGTCTCAATGCACCAATCAAAAGAAACAGACTAGCAGAATGGATCAAGAAACAAAATCCAACCATATGCTGTTTACAGGAAACCCATCTAACCCAGAAAGATACTCACAGACTGAAAGTCAAAGGATGGAAAACAATTCTTCATGCAGCAGGAATCCAAAAAAAGGCAGGAGTAGCCATTCTGTTTGCAGACAACGTGAACTTTAAACCAACAATGACCATAAAGGACAAAGAAGGTCACTACATACTCGTAAGGGGAAAACTCCAAGAGGAAGAGATAACTATCTTAAATATACACGCACCAAACTCCAGAGCACCCAGTTATATAAAACAATTATTAACAGAAATGAAAACTCAAATTATCAGTAACACAATTGTAACAGGAGACCTTAATACACCACTGACACCAAGGGACAGATCAACCAGACAGAAAATGAGCAAAGAAATAACAGAACTGAATCACACCTGTGAACAAATGGGTTTGATAGACATATACAGAATGTTCCACCCAACAACATCAGAATACACATTCTTCTCAGCAGTACATGGATCATTTTCTAAAATAGACCATATATTAGCTCACAGAACATATTTAAGCAAATGCAAAAGAGTTGAAATCATCCCTTGCATATTATCGGATCATAGCGCTCTGAAATTAGAAATTAATGACAAAGGATACT